GATAGAGCCGAAAAAATGCTCTGAATGAACACGGACCTAGACATTGGGTAAGTACTATGAATGTATATTGCCATTCATACTCACTGTTGATAGGTTATAGTTGAACGTCTTTTGGTCCAGCGTCAAACTCCCTCCCACTGGCCGTTTATACGGCGGCACACACCAGGTTCGCGCAGCGTACGCCGAATCCGCCCACAGCCACTCTCCTGCACCGAAAAACGACTCGGGATCCCGGGAAACTCTTGTCCGCGCAAATACGTTTGAGTCGTGGAGACTTCCAGGTACGCCAATGACGTAGTCCACGATACGAAGATTATGAGGGAATATAACAACCTTTTTGATGGTAAGTCACCATGCTGCACATCGAACCGACACTTACCTGCGCTGTTAGAGAATAGTCTGAGTTCTTGTTGAAGAAACCCTCCCCATGCCAACCTGGCTTCTCGTGTAAGGGGGACGGAGTCCCATCTACAGAAAGAAAGCCTCCACGCCATTCATGACACGTCTTACTTTTGATGTAAGTTTTCGCCCGCTCTCGCTCAATTTGATCCTTGTGATCAAGCGGATCAAAATGAATGGCCCGGTCATGAAGTTGAAGGATTGCGATCATCACCTGTTTGTAGCAGTTGTAGACGGTCCCCACGGACACTCCAGCCCAGTCAGAGATGTCTTCAGTGGTTGTGGCATTGCCATAATGGCCAGCGCCGTTGAGAAAAATGGTGAGCTGTATTGGGACAGGGAGCTGGGGGTTATTCGAATTGTTGTAGAAGATGGCATGTCCTTGAATCAACTTCGTAAGTTCATCAAACACGTCCGCATCAACACGGAGTTTGCGACAGAATTTTTCAGGTGAGAATAGAGCCCACTCCTCCAGCAAGTGTAGCTGAGGCGCGCGACTTAGAGACGGACGGACATCAAGGACTCGACATTTCTCTACCTCGTCATGCAGTGCAGTGATTGCATCGGCAAACTGAGTAAAGACTCGTTCGCACATATCTGGGATATCGTGCGATAGGAATTCGGAGTACGCTGTGGAGAGTGACGTCAGAGAGTTGTTTGACAAGGCAGATGCGATCGACGATGTGGGGGACACTGGGGACGTTGGCCATGTTGGTGATGTGGACCGTATACTAATATCCGAGCCACTATGGCCATCGACAGCATCGTCAGATTCCTTATCATCGTCTTCATCGTCGTCTTCATCTAGTAGCTGATCTATCATAAACTCGATTAGTTCCATATATCACGCGATGGTAAGGTCATTTCTGGTTTGTTTGAGGCTGCGAAGCAGCTTCTTTCGATCTGATTCACAGGGCATATTGATGGAGCTGCAGAACGCTATAGCAGATGGTACAGCTTGAAAGCTTAGGGTTTGTTTGTCAGCGTCGGAGCTTCAATACTACCAGCAACGCGCAAATTTCTGACCTTCCAAAATTCTACGAAGTCAACTTTGAGAACCGCTAATAAATCAATAATACATGGGTTTGCATTCGCGCACCAAACATAATAAGAAAGAGGCGGGTGTTCGGTGCGGCCAACGTTAAGCTTAAATTTAAAGCCCGCAGGCCCACCTTCAGCATTTGCAGAGTCAAAAAATGAACCAAAGAATTGAGTCGTTGTCGACGACATGACTTGCTCACGGTGGTCGGCTTTCAGTTGGTTCAACCTCATGATCTTATCTCCAGATAATCAACACCCTACTACTGTATACATTCGACCTTAGGTTCGTGGGGGTTGATCTAACGAATCAATCTGTGGTTTCATAACTCACTCAGATTGCTTCTTCTTTTGCTTTGCTTGGGCACATGATAGAGCCAGGACGATCTGATCAAAGTATGTATGTCAGAATATCATGGTGGACACCTTACTGATACTTCCCAGGTGTGCTCGATGCCTTTCGACTTGAGCTCCAAATTTATCTTTTTCAAACTATCATGCTAAATATGCATCAGTAAATTCACACATTTCTTGGCAGACCTTTTTTCAAAAATTAAAACTTATTTTTAACTTATTGACACTTATTCACCTTTATTCACTTGGCTGTTTGTTTTCACAAGTCAAAAAAGGAAGTGTATGACACACAAGTGCCGAAAAGTAGCATAAGATCAAAAAAGTCAGTTCAAGTATTCGAAACAGAAATAAGTACAGCAAGTAAATAAGTAGTTCAACTTGGTATGTAACCCGCGGCAGGTAGTAGCTCGTGACCCATGTATTTATGTACTAGACATATGGGTGTAGGTACAATGTATATCAGTAGTAGCAACACAATAACGAGATCGACAGACTCACGAACTGTGAACAGCGGGAAATGACTTGGATCAGCATGGCTTGAGCTCGAAGGGGGATCGACAGACTCATGAACTGCGAACGGCAGGAAACGACTTGGATCAGCATGGGTCTTGCTCGAAGGGGGATCGACAGACTCACGAACTGTGAACAGCAGGAAACAACTTAGATCAGCATGGGTCTTGCTCAAACGAGGATCGACACACTCACTTCCTGCGAGCGGTGGCAACGACTTGGATCAGCGTGGCTCGAACTCGAACAAGGAGGGTGCTGGAGGGCGCCAGGTATGGGTGCTGGAGGGTGCAGTTGGGCATGGTTGGATTGGGAGGATGCGAGAGATGTGCCGGGGGGTGTGTGGAGGGCTGCAGCTAGCAAAAATTGAAAGAACAATTGATAGATGCACGTACAGTACCCAAACCCAAACTATACAAACCGATTCCTTCAATCTGCATGAAGCTAAAGTCAGTATGACAAAGATGGGCGCATGCAGTTTCAGGATTTGTCAAAAATGAGCGCTGTGAACCATCACGCGTCACGTGTCATATTTGAACCACGTCAGTTTTTCACACGAAGTTCACTCTCAACGTTAACGTTCAACCTTGTCTGACTCTCAATCTAACTTCCATGCATCATCTCACATACCTCCATACCTCAGTGTCTGAAACTTCACTCTCATGGTCTCACACCCTTTCGCACACCTCCCAGTAAGTTTTTTTATTTGTTTTTTTTCCATTTTACTAAAAATGTCTGTGTCTGAAACTTCGCCCGTCCTTTCGCATGGCCTCCAAGTAAGTTTTTATTTATTTGTTGTATTTTCTTTTACTAATTATGTCTGCTTGCCTCAGCATCTGAAACTTCGCCCATCCTTTCATGTACCTCCAAGTAAGTTTTTTTTCATTTTTTTAAATTTCCCTTGACTAATAATGTCCGCTTGCCTCAGTGTCCAAACTTCGCCTGTCCTTTCGCATACCTCCAAGTAAGTTTTTTTCATTTGTTTTACTTCCTTTTATTAATAGTGTCTGCTTCATTGCAGTCTGCCGCTTGCCTCATGTGCCATCTGCCTTGTATGCCGCCTTTCATTCCTCGCATCCTGCCTTTCACCCTCTTCAAAATTTGCTGCTGCTGGCTCCCCATTCTTTGAGTTCGTTTCTGCATCTAGTCGCCACTGCCACAAGTAGTTGTATTGTTTCCCCACTAGTACTTAGTAGTCCTATCATGTAATTATCCTTGAATGCAATATTTTGTCATTTTTGTCGAAACAAGTGTGAAATAAGTAGCCCCAACTTGCACTACTTGCAATGTGGGCTATTTTACAAATAAGTGCCAAAAAAGCCAACAAAAAGTTTGAAAAAAGTCGAAGTCAAGAGGAGGCATCTACTTTTTCGACTTAAATTGCCTTGTGGCAAGTTGATGGCAAGTTGGTGTCACTGTTCTTATGAATGACTTTTCCGCTCCTTTTTTGGAATTACCCGGCAGCAAGTTGCAAAAAAGGAAGTTCAAGCAATGTGTGAATTTACTGATGTGGTTCAATCATGCTTGAACAGATGTCAATCAGCCATATAGTGCATACTTTCACACGCACGATTCGTTACAACTTCTCTGCCTCCCAATAGATGATATTGGGTCGGCATGCGTCTGGCCCGCTCTTATGCACGACCCTTAGTCATTCAAGAGAAAAGGCGTGACCTGCATGCGCCATCGAAGGTAGACAGGGTGGAGAAGGGCCATCAGCAACGAATTGATTCCGAAACTACATCGGTCACTCTAATGGTTTCTCAGGCACGTCTTGAGCCAATTATGTAGGTTCAAAGCCAAACTTTGTAATATCGCGTCGCTCAGAATTGACTCAATTTAGGCTAGTATCAGCTGTCCAAACTTGGACACATCACCTCTACTCTAGCTACTAGCGTTATTGGTGTATATTTCAAGGTCAAATTTCAATTCGATCGATCTAGATAAATAAAAAACGGAATAACAAAATCGGTGATCTAATTCCCGATATCGGTTTTGGTTCGTCCTAATGTGCGTTTTCCAGGATTCGTATCATCATCCATGCCTTATCTAGCCTGGCATCTATTTTAGGTTGTGCTTCTATTTAGTTAGGGGCTTCATCGATTCATCACGCGGGTTGTCCATAATCGAACCCGTATCCTAATCCCACCATCGATACACCTCGCGTCTCCATCGATAGTACCTGCAGGAATAGCTGTTCTCCGGAACTTTATTTTCCTCATCCTGCGTACGTGCCATATATAAATATATCACCGGTTTTCCCTGTTTCCCACATTCTATCATTCACCGGCACCAAGTGATCATTTGCTTACTGTAAGCCATGTCTGTATCTTGTTCGGTGCTTTACTTTGATAGTCGTGCTCAGCGAGGGTTCCAGTAGAGTATCGCACTCGATGCCTCATCAGTAGTTTGATAGGTATGCTTGGAACCTTCGATTTTCTTATGCTTCACTCATCACTCAGCAGACCCCATATCCTTGTCATCCTCATTCGCGAGAGAGACGTACACTCAAGCCATGAGTCTACGCGATTCATTCATTTCATTCTCCGTAGCACGTCGGATGGAAAAAAATGCATCTCAGCACTGATGAGTTATCAGCCATCTGACTTCACGATTCGCAGTATCTATGTCCAGGCAATGGACCACCAACGCGCAAAATCAGAATCAGCTGTCAAGGCACTTTCACTGATTCCCGTTGTATTTTAACATTGGCTATCGATGACCAGCTTGGTTGCTAGACGCTCCATCAGGAAATTGCGCGCAGAATCAGCTGCCAAGGCACTTTTACTGATCATCGTTGTATTTTAACATCGGTTATCATAGATCAGTTTGGTTGCTAGTCATTCCGGATAATTTCACCTTACCACTTAGCCCAGGCGCGGGTGTTTCGTTCCAGTAGTGATACAACAATAAATAGGATTGCCTGGACCTTTGAAATATACTTTGAAACACCACATGTTGGATAAATACCACAACGGATCCTCCACCAAATGTCTCCTCCCTGCTGACCACTCACTCGGCAAGCATTTGCCTATACAGTACTGCTAGTTGATACATGTACATGCTCCTGGAAAAGAATCGAATTCATACTAATTTCTGCGTCAGAGTATGCCACGAGTTTGGCATGGTATTCTCGAACGCTCAGAATGAGACGAGGTCCCAGTACAAACATCTGCACGACCGATAAAATTTGACGAGCACCTCCGAGTATCCGAGCTCTGATAGAATGTGAATTCTACAGAAATGATGAGCAGTGGTTGCACGCAGATATCAGCAACAGGTCAGCGCACCGAGATTTCTGGAGAGAGAACAGCAAGCTGGAGGCAAGAGACACTAACAACGCTAACATGTGCCGAACTTGAGCGGAAAAATATAACCGCATTCACATTATAAGCTCACCTTGCAAAATAAAGAATGTGAGATTGTATCAGCACTCTGAAACAGTCCCCGATGGTCGATCCTGTCGATGGGCCGAGTCGTCGCAGCTCACGGAAGTGTTTTACAACAACCCAGACTGAAAGGCACAATGCGAGGACCTCCCAAACAGTGTTGAGCATCCAAATGATCGAAATATAAAGCTGGTCGTCTCCCCGTTGTACGTCACCGCACATATATATGCCAGAGAGTATGAACTCCTCTGGTGTTTGGCCAATGAGCCGTGTTCTTCAAGTCAACAAGTAAAGCTTACCAAGTATAGCATCGTTGTGTCCTATTGCCGCGATTACTCCGCAGGCGATGTTTACAGCCAGGAAGATAATAGCAAGGAAGATAAGCATCTTTCTAGATCCCTGATACATGGCATGCAACCGAGCAATCATGATGACTTGCATCGTGTGTCAGTCAGGTCAATATCACAGAGGTATTGCACCTGGGTCACTTACCGCTCAACATAGCAGTCAAGGCCACATTTGTCCCACCTACGGCGGAGTAAATGGTAGCGCCTAAAACTTCCAATTAGTGAACGCCCTTGCACTAGTATCAAAGACTCCAACTTACACCTATTGAGTCATTATGTTGAGCCAAGTTCAATGCTTGTATTCTCACTCACCCCTACATATGAGTGCGTTGATTGGATGGGAATGAGATGGTTGCAGAATACTTACTGCATCTGTCAGCGATACCGATGGCATAATTTCTGTGTCCCGCCGGTCAGGAAAATGGAATACAGCGCATATGAGACATACCCAGAACACTGACACTAGTTGTCAGAGATGAGCTATTAGCACAATACAAAGTTGTTGATCTCGACACATACACAGAATACGGTATTCCAATATAGCGTATCTAGAACGTTTTGGAGTCAGCACAAGTTGCCCACCACGCTAAAGCACAACATGAGTACAAACAATCAAATACAGCACAGTCATGAGAGACCATCGTTGTCTCTGTTGCGAATTCATTGCATGCTCTTGTTTTCTTCTGATACGGGACTCTTGTCACTCACCCAGATGAGTTCAATCTATGATACCATTCTGAGTGATATCGCTGCTCCGGCGATAATATCGACGTACCTCTTGTCCGAGCGTTAACACTGGAAATATCATGGGAATATCAGCGATTTTAGAACACTGTCCTGCTCACCCCAATCGTATACCATCACGACACCCGCGGCAACTGCGAAACTGCATGTCAATGCTAGATCTAAGACATCATGATGCGACAAACCGTTCCAATAGCTGAAATAAATACTTGCATCGATATATGGCCAGTAACTGGGATCATTTGAGACGTAGGTCATGTTCGAGAGATGGGTGTGAGTGAGTGGGGAAGGTAAGTGGTGTATAACGACAGCGTTCGTGCTAAATATACCACCGTTCAGCGTTTCTCTCGCCAGAATCAATATAATGGAGATATGTATTTGATCCTGCCTCAAGACCCTTGATCGGGTGAAACAGTTCGAAATCAAACAAAAAGAAGCCCTGGATAATCAAAGCAGAATTTGATTTACAAACCAGTATTACGCATGCGACTACTCGGACGCCAGAAAAATTTCAGTGGTTAGTGATATCGCACACTCATTTCCAATGCCATTTTCGAGGTGTTCGGTATGAAACCATGTGGCCATCGATCTAACCGTGATGTGATCGCAATGAGCATGTGTGTTCTCTTAGCTTCGCGGGCCAAGCTCGAGACTTGCTGTCAGCTCCGCTGATTGCTTTTTGTAACAAGGTCATGTTTTGCAGTACGGCAAAAGTCAAAGAATAGCGCACTCTATTCAGTGGATCCGATCGTGCGCTTGATGCGACGGTAATGCATTGCACTTGCGGATACATCATAACTCATGCTGTGTCGTTGATACCTGTTAAATATAAGACGCCATACATACTAGGTCGAAAGAGAAATCGCACATGGGAGACAAGGATCCGGTAACAGGCAAAAAAGCCCGATTTCTGATTATACAGCCTCGGTCAATGGCCATTGTATTTCAGGGATGTTTTGCAGTGCCGACTTGCGCAGGAGCCGGTAAAGGTTGCGAGCTAAACGCGAGATTCATGAGATAAACCAAGAACACCATTGTCTGACCTTCATGCTCAGCAAATTCATGGGCAGGCTACGAAACTCGCATCGTAGTCGGATGCTTGTACATGCATAGTCATTGTACAAATACACCATTGGTTCAGAATCCTTATTCCACCTTCACAAGGTGCTCACCATACAAATCCGAAGTAGTCACATGTCGCAACATGCAGATAGGATCGCATCTTCACGCGATGAAGCGCATGTAACCACTCTATTCTCCATCTTCGAATGGAAAGCCTCAGCCTGGATGATGCAATCGCCATAACCTAGAAGACTTGCCATAAAAATGTTGCTGCACCGTATATCCGCCCTTTTTTCTCCGAGCGCTTCAAATGCACAGATATTGTCAGGTGTTTCCCATGGGTTTTGATGTTGATATTCTGGCGTCCGAGAAGCTCGACTGTTGCAGTGGCAGTCTTAGCTCCGGAATTCCAGTGTAGGTTCATCCTGTGTTGGGGCAGATCAGTGGCGGATACATCATGATGAATCTATGATATACTTACCTGTGGCAACACCCAAGCACGGCGATGAATCAATTAATCAAGGCTCACAATGAATGAATAATACCGTCAAGTGTTCGCATTCGCCATTTCGCACACCAAACATAAGGTTGAAGCGAAGCCTGTCTAAATTTAATCAAAGCCCGCGGCGCTCCCTTCGGCGTTTAATTTGCGGAGTCAAAAAATGAACCAAGCCAGCTGCTGTAATGGGATGAGGTGCTTACAGTACTTACTTTCTGCAAGCAATATGCCGTTCAACAGAACTCACACACTCTCTTGTTGCCTCAAGGCCTCACTGGTCATGGAAGATGAGAATCGACCTGCGCGTGAAGCTCGACGGACAGGCACTATGCCATCGAAGCTAGAATGAATGACTATCGTATTTGGTCTGCCTACATAGTACTTGAGTATATATATGAGACTAAAGTGTTGCTCCTGTGACAGATCCTCCAGACACATTCTTCCTCACGCTCAACAACATTCCACTACCGCTCTGAAGGTCTCCCTTTCCTATCTTCCTTTGTGCTCGGACATCTCATAGTGAGTTTTTTTCTGTCAACTACCTGATCATCTGATCACAGACGTACTACCTTGCCTTTCCAGGTCCTTCACTCTCTGCCAGTCTGGTTGTTTGTTCAGGTGACCCCGTGGTGTAATAACCTCTTCAATGACATGGTGTCATTGGCCATCTGGCTTTTATGAATCGTGATCATTCTTTTTGCTCAGAAAGATGATAAGTTGCTTTCGTTTACGTTTATTACTCTTGAAATACAGCTGCCTAGGCTTCGACACGCTACTCCAATGCCACTCTGAATTGTCTTGCGTACGTATATCATAATCTTATTTAAGATCTCACGCTGACGGACATGCTACTAGTAGAACTTTGACAGGCCACACATGCCCAATGCACGAGTCTGCGATCATGGTCAGTTCTTGGTTATTATTTTTCGTTCTTCGTGCATCATGCTCAGATGATAATCCAGGGCATTCATGAATAAGTCGAATTCTCGGATTATCAGCTGTCTGAGTTCGGACATGCCACTTCTACTTTCCTGGGTCCATAGAATAATCGCATCGCGCCCCACTCGAATAGCCCAGATGGATGATGACGCAGTAGATGCGACAGAGCCATTCCGTCACAAGCCATCTCAGCTTCCATAGATCGTGCGCACATCTTCTGCTTTCAGTCTTTGTGTTCAAACAGCTGACAGACGGTAATTTTCGCATATGTAGATTTCTAGTCTATCAGCTGTCTGGCTCAGATCCAGACACTCCGCTCATGTACTACCTGCGCGAGCACGCAACGACCTGTTGAAGCAAAGTGTATACTTTCAAATAATCATTCCTTCGCACCAGGGCGACTGTGATTAATATCAACGGGTGTGTTATTTACATATGCGTCTCACTCGGTGTTTTACTCTTACAGTCGTGCTGCTCGGCAGGATGGAAACAGATCATTGCAAGGGCCCTAATATACATCTGACGCATGATTTAGATTTGCAGGGTGAAGCTAGTCTGATCAAAGTATGTTTGCCAGATTTCATGATTGGCGTCTCACTGATACTTTTGCAGGTGCGCTTGGTGCCTTCCGACTTGAAGCCCTGATTTTCTCGGACCCATATCCTTGTCATGCTCATTCGCAAGAAAGACGTGCAATCAAACCATGAGTTTACGCAATTCATTCCTTTCATTCTCCTCGACCCATCGGATGGAGGAAATCGCATCTGAGTACTAATGAGTTATCAGCCATCTGGCTTCACGATTCGCAGTATCTAAATGTCCAGACAGTGGAACACCAACGCGCAGAATCAGTGGTCAAGTGATTCTCGTTGTATCTCAACAAAGGACCAGATTGATTGCTAGACGTTCCGGATAATTTCCCCTTAACACTTGGTTCAAGCGCGGATACTTCGTTCTAGTAGTGATACAACAAGAAATAGCTTTGCCTAGACCTTTCAAATATACATAATTATCACAACGGATCCTCGATCAAATTTCTTCTCCCTGCGGACCACTCGGCAAGCATTTCCCTATACAGTACTGCTAGTCGATACATGTACATGCTCCTGGAAGACAATCGAATTCATGCTAGTGTCTGCGTCGGAGTATGCCACAAGTTTGGCGTGGTATTCTCGAACGCTCAGGATGAGGCGTGGTCCCAGCATGAACATCTGCGCAACCGATGAAATGTCAAAAGCTCCTTCAACTATCATAACTCCAATAGAATTTGAACCCTACAGAAACGATGAGCAGTGGTTGCACGCAGATATTGGCAACAGGTCAGCGCACCCAAAATTCTGAGGAGAGATCAGTAGCAAGCTGGAGGCAAGAGACACTAAAAAAGCTAACATGTGTGGAACTTGAGCAACAAAATATAACCGCGTTCACATTACAAGCTCACCTTGCAAAATAAAGAACGTGTGATTGTATCAGCACTCTGAAACAGTCCCCGATGGTCGATCCTGTCGATGGGCCGAGTCGTCGCAGCTCACGGAAGTGTTTCACAGCAATCCAAACTGAAAGACACAGTGCGAGGACCTCCCAAACAGTGTTGAGCATCCATACCATTGAAAGCATAAGCTCGACGACCCCGTCATATTCATAATGGCACATATACGTGCCAGAGAGTATGAACTCCTCTGGTGTTTGTCCAATGAGCTGTGTTCGTCAAGGCAACAAGTAAAGCTTACCCACTGCAGTGTCGTTGAGTCCTATTGCCGCGATTACTCCGCAGGCGATGTTCACAGCCAGGAAGATAATAACAAGGAAGGAAAGCATCATTCTAGATCCCTGATACATGGCATGCAACCGAGTAATCATGATCACTTGCATCGTGTGTCAGTCAGGTCAATATCACAGAGGTATTGCACCTGGGTCACTCACCGCCCAACATGGTAGTCAAGGCCATAGTTGTGCCATTTATTGCGTAGTACGCGATACCACCTAAAACTCCCAATTAGCGAACACCCTCGCACTAGTGTCAATGACTCCAACTTACACCTATTGAGTCATTATGTTGAGCCGAGCTCAATGGTTGGAATGTCACTCACCCCTACATATGAGCGTATTGATTGGATGGGGATGAGATGGTTGCAGAATACTCACTGCATCTGTCAGCGATACCGATGGCATACTCTCTGTGTTTCGTCAGTCTGAAAAATGAAATACAGCGCATGAGACATACCTAGAATACGGACACTAGTTGTCAGAGATAAGCTATTACCACAGTGCAAAAGTTGTTGGTCTCGACACATACACAGAAAATGGTATTCCAATATAGCGTATCTAGAACATTTTGGAGTCAGCACAAGTTGCCCGCCATGCTAAAGCACAGCGTGAGGTACGAACAATCAAATACAGCACAGTCATGAGAGACCATCGTTGTCTCTGTCACGAATTCATTGCATGCTCTTGTTTTCTTCTGATACGGGACTCTTGCCACTCACCCAGATGAGTTCAATCTATGACACCATTATTAGCGAGTTGGCTGCTCCGGCGATGACATTGACGTACCTCTTGTCCGAGTGTTAAGACTGGAAATATCATGAGAATATCAGCGATTTTCGAATACTGCCCTGCTCACCCCAATCGTATACCACCACGACACCGGCGGCAACTGCAAAACCCCAAGTCAACGTTAGATCTAGACATCTTGGGGCGCCGACAGACCTTGCATATAGCTCCCAAAAATACTCAAATCGATTGTCGGCCACCAACTGGGATCATTTGAGATGAAGGTCATGTTCGAGGAATGGGTGTGAGCGAATGGGCAGGCTGAATATATTACCCGCAGTCAAATCCTATTCCAGAGTTCGAGGCGCAACAGCCCTCCAATTACTCTTATGGAGCAAGCGTCATTCTGCGGAACTCAAACAGTACAATACAGAGCGCACCATGTTGAATAGCTATACGACATCATCGGCGATTCGACGGGGAAAATTGCACCGCCAGGAAGCTAATTTCTGATTGTACAGGCTCATTGCGGTGCTTTGTGAGACAACAATTTGTAACAAATCGTGAATCACAGCTTGATCGACGAACCGAATAGACAGTCGGGGGCAACGAAATAGAGTAGTGATAGGATAGGTAGCCGTAACACCTGGCAGGACCAACTTCACTGTGGTCACAGGAACATGGAGACTTGTTTGCTGAAGTACGTTGGTCGCCGACTGTGTTCATTAAAGGCATCAAAAGCACTGCTGTTTATGCCCATAGTCCAGAGAAGAACTGACCGTTTTGAGGCAGGAGGCTGAAGACGCACATAATACTGGGCACCATAAATCAATAATACATGGGGTTGCGTTCGCGCACCAAACATAATACAAAAGAGGCGGGGTCTTGCATTCGCGCAAACATAATACGAAAGAGGTGGGGACTCCATGTATCGACTCTCGGTGAGGCCAACGTTACAGTAAGCTTGAATCAAGGCCCGCGGCGCTGGCATTTGCGGAGTCAAAAAATGAACCAAAGAATTGTGCTTACAGCTCTGCAGACTGCAAGCAACAGGCTGAAAAGCCGTCCCGGAACTGGTATTACTCACTGCATCTGCACCACTCCCTCTTTTTGCATCGGTTATGGAAGACAAGAATTGACCTGCGCGTGAAGTTCGTCGCACAATATCCGACGAAGCTCATTGATATGCACCTGCGCTGGCTCGGATCTGCGCATTCCAATATCGAACGGCCCAGAAAAATTGTCATTTGCATTGGAGGCGGCTTATTTAGGGCGTCTGGTTTTGGCCAGCTGTAAGTTGTTTACCCCATTCCAAAAACAATGCTAACAAAATCGGCGATGATAACATACTTTCGTTCGTGTTGTCGAACTAATGTGCGTCTTCCAGGATTCGTATCTATCTAGCCTGGCATCTATTCTGGGCCCGTAATCAACCCTGCTTTTCATCCATCATGGAAGTTACCTTTAGTGCAGGGTTGGAAGTACTTTATCTGTCACGCGGAAGTTATCCATAACCTGTGCTTCAAAGACAAGAATCCCGCCATCAATACACCTCGTGTCGATACCTGGAATGTCATCGATATCGGTCACCGGCACTCACAAGTTATTTTCCTTATTGGTCGTTGCAACAGCCCATATGCGAGACATGCCAATGAGTGTGTGTATGTTGCATGTCTGTATCTCGTTTGTTGCTTTACTCTGATTGTCGTGCTTAGCAGGGTCTCCAACAGAATATCATGGCTGATGCCTCATTAGTACTTTGACTTTGATAGTAGTACGCTTGAGGCCTTCTGACACACCGCCTCAAGCTGACTCTAGCTCTGCTCTCCTGCCAACTCTGCACCCTTCCTGGCCCTGCTTTCTTGCTAACCCCGTCTCCGCAAACCCTGATTTGAGCTTCCCGTTACTTGGTGCAAGCATTGGTGAGTAGCTACTCCATTCCAGTAGTGGTGCGGTTTGACCTCTAAACCGGGTCAAATATACTTCGAAACACCATATTTTGAATGAATACCACGAGGGATCCTCCACCAGATTTCTCCCTACAGACCACTCGACAAGCATGTCCCTACACAATACTGCTAGTTGATATATGTACACGTTCCTGGAAGACAATCGAATTCATGCTAGTTTCTGCGTCAGAGTCAACTGTAAGTTTTGCATGATACTCTCGAACGCTAAGGATAAGGCGTGGTCCCAGCACAAACATCTGCACGACCAATAAAATTGGAAGAGCACCACTGAGTATCTGAATTGCAATACTAGAATCTGAATTCTACAGAAATGATGAGCAGTGGCTACACGCAGATGTTTGGCGACAGGTCGGCGCACCAAGATTTCTGGAGAGAGCACAGAAAATTGGAAGCAAGAGACATACATAAAGCTAGCATGTGCGGAACTTGAGCAGAAAAAGATAACTCATCTACATTAAAAGCTTACCTTGCAAAATAAAGCACGTGAGATTGTATCAGCACTCTGAAATAGTCCCCAATGGTCGATCCTGTCGATGGGCCGAGTTGTCGCAGGTAATGGAAGTGTTTCACAGTAATCCAGACTGAAAGACACAGTGCGAGGACCTCCCAAACAGTGTAGAGCATCCAAAAAATTGAGTTCAGAAGGATGACGTCCCCTTCAAATCCTCGAAGGCACATATACGTGCCAGAGAACATCAACTCCTCTGACATCAATTAAATGAGGCATGTTCTTCGATTTAACAACTAAAACTTGCCTACTAGAATCTCCTTGAGTGCTATTGCCAAGATCACTCCGCGGGCGATATTTACAGCCAGGGAGATAATAACAAGGAACATAAGCATCTTTCTAGATCCCTGATACATGGCATGCAACCGAGCAATCATGATGACTTGCATCATATTTCAGTCCATTCAATATGACTGAGGCATCACAGCTGGGTAACTCACCGTCCAACATGGCAGTTACTGGCACACCTGTCTGTCGTCGACCGAATGCTCCGAGAACGACGCCGATGAAACCGAGGGCAAGGCATGCTGTGACAAGTAGATGATGTGAGCGCAAGGGGAGAAAAGGCAGGCACGAGGAGGATGTGACATTGGGGCCGACGGCTGCACAGTATCAATGTTTCATTCTAATATGTCCGATAAGGAATCACTTACAGTATAAAGTCTAGCGCGCATGCAGATGAGCGTCTCAGTTCTGTTCCCAGAGACTGAGACGTGAGTACCCATACCTTAGCTATTCGTATACAGACACTGATGCGATATAGTACTCTTACCTGCTAGGTACACATTTTGTCAATACTGAGTTCTGTTCCCAGAGACTGAGACTACTCTTACCTGCTAGATTCTATCCGCGCGTGTACCTTCTCCAGAGGTTATGAGCCCTGACATGACCGTCGATAATACGCTCCCCGGCACTACGTCCTCGCTGTTCAACGTCCCAAAACTTGCTGAAGATGGCACGAATTGGATTACCTACAAGGAGAGAACGTTGACGGCGATAAGTGCCCGAGGTTTGATGCGATATGCTGATGGTCGTGCCGTCGAACCATTACCCTACCTCATTGGCAAGGATTCGGGAGTACCGGAGAAACCGGATGGTTCGATTCCCTCCCAGAAGGAGATAGATGAGCGCGATAAGAAAATGGATGAGTACGATCAAAAGAACACACTTGTTAAGCAGCAAATCTTCAGTACAATTACCGACCGACTGTTGCTGCGCGTCCAAAAGTTCGAGTCTGCCTCAGAGGTCTGGGAGGAGATCTGCCAGATCCACGAAGACAAGACCGAGCTCGTCCAGATCGATTTACGGCAGCGCTTGCAGGAGACAAGGTGCGACGAGGGAGCTGACATCAAAGCCCACTTCGCCGAGATGCTGCGCTTGCGCGAGCTGCTCGCGGGCATGGGTGCGGGGATCCTCGATACGGACTTCCACGCCTGTTACAAGTAACATCGGTCACGTGGCCCCCCTATCATTTTCCCTTCATCCTCGCCCTCACCATCTACCGGCTCGTCCTCCTTTACCGCCTTTCCGTTGACCGGATCCTCGGGACCGTTCCTGTCCCTCGCATCGCCCGCCTCTATGCACGTGCACGCACGTTCCTCCTTTGATTCGACCACCAATGTGGTCCCGCACCTATGACTCGGTCTGACTCGTGCCACCAATGTGGCTTTCCTCTTTCTGTTTCCCCTGACTGCGGATTCCCGCACGTTGTATTCTTACCGTTGGTCCGTTCCAATGTTTCTCGGTCTCATTCCACATTCGACCATCCACCACTAATCCGGCTCTGATGCCAGCGCACCTATACCATTCTCGCTTCCCCTTTACCCTTACCTACTGTGCGGTAGCCTTGCCCTTAACCCTCTCCACTTAGTATAAGTAGTCGGTCACACTGTACTAGATTCCCTAACTTGAATCTACTCAATCTTCCCTGGAACATACTTCCCTCTGAAGCCCCCTCAGCTTCAGTCTCTAGTATCTTTTCTTAGTCGCTCATCGCGACTAAGTCTACCTTGATCGACCTCATCGTTCGGACAAGACTGTCCTTACTTTGAGTGACTTCTCACGACATCCGTCTACGAAGTCACGTGACACGCGCGTACTGTGATCGCTGCCGACTCGTCGTCGCCAGTCTCACTTGCCATACCGGATCCTTCCGGTTACGTCACGAACGTTAGTGGACGACGCCCCTCTTAGGGCTCCGCCTAACAGATCTATTTGAGTGCGTAACAACGCCATCATTCTCGGCTCGCTCCCTGAATCCTATCGCCCTCTCCTGTCCTCCATTAATGCGGCCGCCAAAATCACAAAGACCCCCTTGTCCTCCTATGAACTAATCAGTATCGTTACGGAGGAGTATGAGCATTGACAGCTCACCGAGAAGCGCCCCACTAAGAAGGGGAGTGCAGGGACCGCACTTGGTGCGAGAGAGTCTAGAGAAAAGGGAAAAAGGTCAGCTACGTCGAGCAAGGCGAATGCAGACGTTACCTGCTATAACTGCGACCGTAAAGGTCACTACAAAACAGACTGCTGGAGACCTGGCGGAGGGAAAGAGGGCCAAGGCCCGAATCAGCAGAGGAAGAAGGGTGAAAGAGGGCAGAAAGAGACGGCGAACTCAGCTGCAGAGTCCGGATCCCAGGACCAGTACGTGTTCGTGTCGTCCGACTTGGCAAGCATAGCCAAGGACCTGAAGGTCCCTGCCGATAGACATGGCGCCATCATCGATTCCGGCGCCACCTCCCACTTCTGTCCAGACCGGACGAAGTTCACCAACTTCACCTCCATACCCCCCCAGGAGATCCGCACCGCCGACGGCTCCAGTCTGAGTGCCGTTGGTCGAGGAGATGTCGAGCTAGAGTTGCCCCTTGGTGAGAAGCGCACGAAGGTGACGCTGAGAAACGCACTGTACGCACCTTCCATGGCCTTCACACTCATTTCCACCAATCGGATCACTGCCGCTGGGATGGCTGTCCTCTTCGAAGGACGGATGTGCAAGGTCCTCTCGCAAGGACCCAACCGGCGCGTCATCGCCGAAATCCCGCAGGTGGAAGGCCTGTACAGTGTGGCAGTAGCGAAGGCACGTCAGCATCATGCGAACGTAGCCCAAGGCAAGCTTACCGTTGGGGAGCTTCATAAGGTGCTGGGACATGTATCCCAGCCTGCAGCAGCAGAAGCCGTCAAAAAGGGTCTGATTACGGGCCTCGAGCTGGACCACAGCTCGAAGCCCGAGTTCTGCGATGCATGCACAAAGGCAAAGTCAGCACGTCAGCCTTTTCCCGACGAAAGTAAGAGCCACGCACTCACCTACGGCGACCTTGTCCACACGGACTTGTGGGGACCAGCCCAGACTCCTAGCATCAGCGGGAGCCTCTATTATATCAGTTTCACTGACGACTATAGTCATCAGACCAAGTTCCACTTCCTCAAGCTCAAAAGTGAAGCACTTACCGCTTTCAAAGCCTACGAGGCGTGGCTAGGACACCAGACCCCAGGAGCGCGCCTACGCAAGGTCCGTTCGGACCGAGGGGGAGAGTACCTGTCTGCCGAGTTCGACCAGTACCTGCGTCAGCAGGGTATCGAGCGCCAGTTGACTGTCCACGACTCACTGCAGCAAAACGGGGTCGCTGAGCGACTGAACAGGACCCTGGTAGAACACGCTAGGGCCATGCTCATCGCCAAGGACATGCCTAAGTTTCTGTGGGCAGAGGCTGTCAACTATGCCACCTGGTTAAAGAACCGCTTACCGTCTAGAGCGACTCCTGGTACCACCCCATTTGAGCTCGTCCAAAAGGCCAAGCCAAGCCTCGCCCAAGCGCACGAATTCGGCGCGAAGGTCTATGTCCACCTGCAGGATGCAGGCAAACTCGAGCCTAGGGCGGAGGAAGCCCTTTTCATTGGAGTGGATGCGGAGAGCAAGGGCTACAGAATCTACTGGCCGGGTAAGCGCAGAGTGTCTGTGGAGAGGAACATTACCTTTGGACCAAGGGAGGTAACGGTGGCCGAGGATGGGCTGAACAAGGGGGAGCCAGACGTCATGCAGTACGACGAATATAATAGCAGCAATACTAATAACGCACCTGTCGTCCAGTCCATCCCGCCACCTCCAACCCCAGCCAGAACCCCATCTCAACACCCCACAACCCCACCAGCACCAAGAACCACCCGCACCAGACCCCCTCCAGGATATTATGCGGCCCTCAATGAGGGGGAGACCGCGTCCCTAGCTTTAGATTCCCTGTTGGAGGCGTCAGAGTTAGATCTTCTAGACGAAGAAGGACATATCCACCTTGCATTGGCCGCTGCAGAGCCAGAACCTACTCTCAAGCAGGTGTTAAACAGTCCGGATGGAGTAGAGTGGCAAGAGGCGCTGGATTATGAAATTGGTCAGCTTGAGAAGCTAGGTACGTGGGAAATTGTAGACGCACCTCGAGGCGCCAACATAATTCCCTGCCACTTCGTCCTCACCACGAAGTGTGGACCGGACGGAGAGAAGCTCAAGTTGCGAGCTCGCCTAGTCGCCAACGGCCAGCACCAGCGCTACAGCATTGACTACTTTGAGACGTTTGCGCCCACCACAAATATGACCACCATACGCACAGTACTGACGATGGCGGCTCAGAAGGACTGGGAGATTCATCAGGTGGACATAAAAAGTGCGTACCTCTATGCCAGCATCCAAGAGGAGATCTACATGAGGCCGCCGCCTGGGTACCTGAAGGCCGGGCAGGAGGGAAAGGTGTTGAAGCTTAAGAGAAGCCTACCTGGACTCAAGCAAGCCGGTTTTGAGTGGGCGGAGGAGCTAGCGGGAGTATTCGCTGACCTGGGTTTCAGCCGTTCGAGAGTGGACCAGGCAGTCTACTTCAAGCGCACGCCGAAGGAGCACATTGTCATTACCGTATCCGTCGACAACATGGCCATCATGGCGAACCACATCTCCCACATCGTCCAATTCAAGTCCCAGCTCCAGCAGTTCTTCGAAATTACGGACCTGGGAGAGCTAAACTGGTTGTTAGGTTTGAAGGTAACGAGAGACAGGAGAGCACGTACAATAACGCTGTCGCAGAAAGTGTATGTGGCGACTCTCGTCGAGCGCTTCCATTTGGCCAACGCCAAGAACGTCCAGACCCCAATAGAACCTGGAGTCAGCCTCTCGTCAGACCAGTCCCCTTCGACACACGCAGAGCTGCAGGATATGCGCGACGTACCTTACCAGAGGGCCATCGGCTCCTTGATGTATGCCGCAACCAGCACTCGCCCAGATATTGTGTTCGCCGTGTCGTGCTTGTCCCAGTTTATGCGCAGCCCAGGCAGACCCCACTGGGAGGCAGCCAAGCGCGCACTGCGCTACCTAAAAGGTACAGACACCTTCGAATTGACGTTGGGCCAAACAGAAGGAGGGCTTGAAGCTTTCATTGATGCGGATTGGGCCTCCCAAGCCCATAGACATTCGATGTCGGGCTACATTGTGTTCCTCCACAGGGGAGCCATGGCCTGGAGTGCTCGTAAGCAACCTATAATCGCTTTGTCCACAGCCGAAGCCGAATACATTGCACTCACCAGCATTGTCCGCGAGCTCCTGTACCTCCGACTTCTCATCGAAGAGCTCTACAAAGCTCCTATGCAGCCCATCCCCATCCTCTGCGACAATCAAGCCGCTATAGCACTCGCGTCGAACGGAAAGTTTCAGTCACGCACCAAGCATATCGACCTCCGGTACCACTTCGTCCGTTCACACGTCAAGGACGGGATGTTCAAGCTCCACTACTGCCCCACAGACGATAACATAGCCGACGCCTTCACGAAGGCAGTGCCACGACCCCGTTTGCAAAAGCTTAGAGCCCACATGGGACTAGCTTGCGCTCGAGGGGGAGTGTCGTCGACCGAATGCTCCGAGAACGACGCCGATGAAACCGAGGGCAAGGCACGCCGTGATGAGTAGATGATGCGAGCGCAAGGGGAGAAAAGGCAGGCACGAGGAGGATGTGATGTCGGGGCCGACGGCTGCACAGTATCAATGTTTCATTCTAATATGTCCGATAAGGAATCACTTACAGTATAAAGTCTAGCGCGCACGCAGATGAGCGTCTCAGTTCTGTTCCCAGAGACTGAGACGTGAGTACCCATACCTTAGCTATTCATATACAGACGCTGATGCGACGTAGTACTCTTACCTGCTAGGTACACGTTTTGTCAATACTGAGTTCTGTTCCCAGAGACTGAGACTACTCTTACCTGCTAGATTCTATCCATGCGTGTACCTTCTCCAGACTGTCCCGCCTATTGTGTAGTATATAATATTGCCTGAAACACTCAATTAGCGAACACCAGTATCAAACACTGCGACTTACACCTATTGGCTCGATATAACGAGTCAAGTTCAATGGTTAGAATTTCACTCACCCCTACATATGAGTGTATTCATCAGATTGGAATGTGATAATTGCGTAATACTCACTGCATCTGTGAGTGAGACAAATGGCATCCATTCTGTGTGCCGCCGGTCAGAAGAGTCGAACACAGTGAATGAAACATACCCATAACAATGGCACTAATTGTCAAAGATGAGCTATCAGCACGGTACCAATCTGTTGGTCTCGACACATACACAGAATACAGTATTCCAATATAGCGTATCTAGAACATTTTGGAGTCAGCGCAACGTGCCCACCGTGCTAAAGCACAACATGAGGTACTGACAATCAAATACAGCACACTCATGAGAGACCATCGTTGTCTCTGTCGCGAATTCATTGCATGCTCTTGTTTTCTTCTGATACGGGACTTTTGTCACTCACCCAGATGAGTTCAATCTATGGCGTCATTCTTAGCAAGTTAATTACTCCAACGGTAACATCGATGTACCTCTTGTCCGAGTGTTAAGACTGGAAATATCATTAGAATATCAGCGATTTTCGAACACTGTCTTGCTTACCCCAATCGTATACCACCATGACGCCCGCAGCAACTGCGAAACTACACGTCAACGTTAGATCTAGACATCTTGATGCGACGAACCTATCCAATAGCTTAAACCAATGTTCAAATTTATTATCGGCCACCAACTGGGATCATTTAAGACTATGACCGCCATATTCAAGGATGAGTGTGAGTAAATGGGGAATGTTGGTGGTGTATAACGATAGCATTTACGCTAGATATACCACCGTTCAGCGCTTGTATCACCAAAATTAGCATGGTGGAGATAGATATTTGATCTCACCTGAAGACCCTTGATCAGGTGAAGTAAGCATCAGTGAACCGGTGAAAAATGACAAGGGTATTTGTAGCGGTATATTATTGTAGACCATCACAAAAATCTGCGTAAATCGGCTGCCTATTTTCATATGTGAATGTTTGTTGTTATCGAGGAAAGACTCGCTTGAATGGAACCAACACAACATGAAGCGGCACAGTTTATCAAGGTAAATATGAACCCAGGCTCAGAGGGGGAGGTTGGAATGTGTTCAGGTGAAGGACAGTTCAGCGACGCTGAATAGTGGTGCTGATTTGTGTGATTTGGTCTTCAAGTATTTGGCTGCTAGCGGAGAATAGTATTACAGTGCGATAGCAAGACTGTGCTTGATTACAATAGTCATGGCTACAGTACCAGGGACTCACTGATTTCCTGATGGTAGTCTTTGCTGCGCTACCTTCGGTGTTTGCCGAAAGTCGAGTAATGAACCTAACTACTGTGCGCTCAGTAACCTCAATTGGACTTTGAATTCCTTTGTACGCTACGAAGATACGTATGTTTCCCTCGATAAAAAACTTGGAATGCTAACATACTAGTATCTTCATTGTACATTCCGCTATCGTTCATGTCGTCATCCTAATGTGTAGGATATCATTTCTGGACGCCTGATCTAACCCGACATCTATTCTAGGCTATCCTTCTTTCAAAGACAACTTCCCGCCATCGATATCACCGGTCACTGGCACCCACAAGTCGTATTCCTTATTAGTCGTTGCAATTCAAATTATTGTCGAAATTTCTCCCCGTTTCCCTGCACGCGTGTATGTCTGTGTCTTGGTCATGCTTAGCAGGGGCTCCAACAGAATATCGTGGCTGATCTGCCTAACCCCGCTGATGCATGGATGATGAGACCCAATTATCAGCTCCTTTTCTGGGTACCTCCTGCTTCCCGACATGCATTTTATACTCCTTGGACTTCATCGGTGATATCCTGAGCTTGATTTGAGCCGCATGGCACATGGAACGCACTGGTCGAGTTGCCGAGATGCGTGAGTTCCTAGTCATTTCCGTCCTCGCAGTTGCTAACGTTAATCCTGCTAGCTGCACGTCACAATAATTGTATTGTTTATAATATCGGGCGTACCATTCGATTCTTTGATTACTTGACAATGTTATACCTAGCACAGAACTTGAATTTACGATTGTCCGGATAAACAACAGCGAGTCGGTGTAAGTGGTACTGTCAGAAGCTATCAATATTTCAGTTTTCAACTACACCAGATATCTAAAACCAATCGGATCTCGAAGCTCATTGATATCGTGAACATCCTGCTCATTCCTCTCGATCTGCTCGTTCAATTGCTTCAGATACAAATACATACCACCAAGCATCCCTGTCGACACTCCGAGTGCAACGATGCAGATGGCATAGGAATAACGATATGTCGGGCCCCAGCTCGACGGCCATACGTACCTATGCGAACAGTGCAGTGAATAGTTAGCGAGAGAAAGAGATCGGCGACAACGTCACTGACGCTCCGATAATACCGCCTATCTGCCCCAGTGCGTTCATCAGAGCGATAGCAACGGCGCGCTTTGCAGGTTCTCTGGCGAAAGTGTTGCTGATCCACCCAAAGAGCAGCAAGTATCCACCGATGACTTGAGTCATCAGGAACCTGTATATTTCTGAGTACAAGAGGGACGCCCCACAAATGGCGATACCACTTACAATGAAATATAGCGCGCAGCCTTGTCCATCGTAAATATTGATATGATGAATGCAAGGACGCAGATTGCATTGGAGACCATGAAGCATTTGTAACGCTTTTGCTTCTTGTCAGAGTACCTGGGCCCTGTGAGATGCGACTTCGCGATAGAAATGATTGACTAACCATGTAAGAGCAAATGAGACCACACCCCCGAACACCCACGGAGGAGCGCAAAGCAACAGCGTTACAGTCGTGTCATATCCCAGTGTCGCGCACAGCGTTGGGAAGTAACCGATGAAAGACAGCCCCACTATCTGGAACATAGCTGCAACTGAAAACAACCACACCTTCCGGTCAGACAAGGCATCCCGCAGTCCTTGCATGGTCGTCTGTTTCCCAAGTTCGTCAGCATCATCATAGCCATCTTCTGCAAGGCGAGAGATAGCGAGTTCTCTTTCCTCCGGGGTCAACCACCTGGTGTTGTACGGGAAATCAGGGAGTATGAACATCGCGCAAATCGCGACCGAGATGGTGATGCCGCCTTCAATGTAAAATAACCATCTACAGATCATTCAGCTTCAAGGAGCGATAGAAACGATAGCCACCTGCCTCCATGCAGCTTGACCAATTTTGTCCTGCATACCGTGAAGTATACCAGATGCAAACAGCGATCCGAATGCAGAGCTGAGAAAAATTCCACTAGAAATGAGAGCTATTCTCAATGCGACCTCGTCTCGCTTGTACCATTTAGATACAAGGAATATGACACCGGGGAAGAAGGGAGCTTCAGCAAGGCCAAGAAAGAAGCGGGCGACAACAATCCCAGTAAAACTTGGGTCAAACTATCAGAAACAGGATCTGAACGATGCAAAACAAGGAAGTGTACTTCGTTGTGGTCCCTGAGCATAGTCAGCAGCCATTTTCATGAACGATCAGTGTTAACAAACCTGACAATACTGATATTGTACCCCATGCTAACATACAGCACGGAAGGATGACAGAAGGTCTCCCCAGCCAGTGTAGAAACATGTTCCTGAAGAAAAATTAGGTTCAGCTGCCTCTCGATGAAGGACGAAACTCACCCTGGGACTTGCATTGTAATGTATCCAACAGATAGGATGGACAAAGTTGTGGCGTATTGTTCCCCATGCAGGTGCAGGTCTTTCTCCAAACCTTGTAACCGAGCGTTGCTGTAGATGTCATAAGATTCATGCAAGTACGATGGTATGTCGCGCACCTAATATTAGTTCTGTCAATCTAGGGTGCACAGTGAGTATCAAAATAGAGTTTTTAGAGACCTCAGACTCACGAAGTTCAAGGTATATAAAATCAGTATTATGGACATACGCAAATCAAGCTTCCTCAGCAATCTCCTCTCAAGGTCATCACGAGTATGACAGCGGACACCATCGGGCACGTCATCGATCATGACGACGGTGTCAATCGTTTTTGAATCGCTGAGAGTGGGCATCCTTGAGGGGAGGGGGATAATGCAACATGTGGGGTTGCATCTCTTATCGACACGCGGGAAGAACGGTGCCGATTTGATTACAGCAGGATGTGATGGAATCGTCTACCAACGTCCCACACTAAGGTTGACCGCACCATCGATTGATTATAATAGCAAATCAGGCTGCTCAACGTCAACTTCTAGACCCAATCCTAGCGATTGGCACCGGATCAGCAGCTCTGGTGATTGGTTGGGCCAAATAGTTGTACTGGAGGATGAAGCTGGATGAAGCAACTGGATGACGGAACTGCGTTGCGAGAACGTACCCATCATCCGGCAGAAGCCCTGTGCCAGGGCCAGCGGAGGTAGATGCAAGGAAGTTTGAACATCACATTATGTGACACGAGTGTGACAGTTCAGACCGGACTCGGAGGAGTACTATGACGGGGTAGCATAAAACCAGCTAGAAATTACTAGTATTTTGAGTAATGAAGACGCCTAAGTAGCCATTCGACAGAAAGGGCAAACTATTGGTCTCCCAGGCACACCTTGGTATGTTCTTCTTATGTAAATAGATAAAAACAAAACTTGGAATGCTAAAAAATAGGCGATCTTTCGCTACAGTCGAGCGCATCGATGAGTCCGCAGGATTCATTCCTTCTCCGTGGCCCGAATGAATAGAAATGCATATCAGCCTAATACAGCCAGGTAGGCTTCACACTTCGCAATCACTTCTTCATCATTTCAGTGCAATACTTCGGTAAATATTTCAATACCCAGCATCAAGGACCATGTCAGTTGCTGGACATTGAAACCGCCAGCCTTGCACTCTGAAGAGGATGAAGATGCGCTGCCTCCTCGAGATGCTGGCTACGTATAACATGTGTATGCGTTCTATGCACTCTCGGACCCTGAACCTCCTGAGACCCTGACCTTTGTCTCTACGCACTCTAGGTCTCTGCACTCGCCCCGCACTGGCTCTAGCTCTCCTTTCCTTCCGACTCTACACCCTTCCTAGCCCTGCTCTCCTGCCAACCCCGTCTCCACGAACCCCTGCTCGAGCTCCCCATTGTAACATTCCGCATAATTTCGGCTCACCACTTGGTGCAAGCATATGTGAGTAGCTACCCCGTTCCGGTAGTGATGCCGGTTGACCTGACTAATCTTTCAAATATACTTCGAAACACCATAAATAACACGACAGACCCTCCACCAATTTCTCCTCCCTGTAGACTACTCGGCAAGCATTTCCCTATACAGTACTGCTGGTCGATACATGTACATGCTCCTGGAAGACAATTGAATTCATGCTAGTTTCTGCGTCGGAGTATGCCACGAGTTTGGCGTGGTATTCTCGAACGCTCAGGATGAGACGTGGTCCCAGCACAAATATCTGAATGACCAATAAAATTTGAAAACCAGCATTGATTATCTGAGTTCCAATAGAATTTGAATTCTACCGAAATGATGAGCAGCGTTTACACACAGATGTCAGCGACAGGTCGGCGCACCGTGATTTCTGGAGAGAGATTAGCAAGTTGGAGGCAAGAGACACCAGCAAAGCTAACATGTGCGGAACTTGAGTAGAAAAATATAACCGTGTTCACATTACAAGCTCACCTTGCAAAATAAAGAATGTGAGATTGTATCAGCACTCTGAAACAGTCCCCGATGGTCGATCCCGTGGATGGGCCGAGTCGTCGCAGCTCACGGAAGTGTTTCACAGCAATCCAAACTGAAAGACACAGTGCGAGGACTTCCCAGACAGTGTTGAGCATCCAAACCATTGAATCTTGAAGCTGGACGTCTCCTTTATATACATAACCGCACATATATGTATCGGAGAGTATGAACTCCTCTGGTGTTTGTCCAATGAGAGCCATGTTCTTCAAGTGACCAATTAAAGCTTACCCAGTACAATATTGTGGAATGCTATTACCGTGATCACTCCGCAGGCGATGTTTACAGCCAGGAAGATACTAACAAGGAACACAAGCATCTTTCTAGATCCCTGATACATGGCATACAACCGAGCAATCATGATGACTTGCATCGTGTGTCAGTCAGGTCAATATCACAGAGGTATTGCACCTGGATGACTCACCGCCCAATATGGCGGTCAAGGCCTCATTTGTCCCATTTATTGCGTAGCTCATATTATAACCTGAAACTCTCAATTAGTGAACGCCCTCGCACTAGTATCAAAGACTCCGACTTACACCTATCGAGTCATTATGTTGAGCCAAGTTCAATGGCTGGAATCTCACTCACTCCTACATATGAGTGTATTGATTGGATGGGAATGAGATGGTTGCAGAATACTTACTGCATCTGTCAGCGATACCGATGACGCAAATTCTGTGTGCCGCTGGTCAGAAAAATGGAACACAGCACATATGTGACATGCCCAGAAGATAGATACTAGTTGTCAGAGATGAGCTATTAGCACAGTGCAAAGTTGTTCATCTCGACACATACACAGAATATGGTATTCCAATATAGCGTATCTAGAACATTGGGGAGTCAGCGCAACTTGCCTACCACGCTAACGCACAACATGAGGTACGAACAATCAAGTACAGCACAGTCATGAGAGACCAGCGTTGTCTCTGTCGCGAATTCATTGCATGCTCTTGTTTTCTTCTGATACGGAACTCTTGTCACTCACCCAGATGAGTTCAATCTATGGTACCATTCTTAATGAGATGGCTGCTCCGGCGATGATATCGACGTACCTCTTGTCCGAGTGTCAAGACTGGAAATATCATGAGAATATCATCGATTTTCGAACACTGTCATGCTCACCCCAATCATATACCACCACGACGCCAGCAGCAACTGCCAAACTGCATGTTAACGTTAGATCTGGACATCCTAATGCGACGAACATGTCCAATAGGTGAAAAAAATATTTGAATTGATTGTCGGCCACCAACTGGGATCATTTGAGAAGTAGGTCATGTTCGAGGGAGCGAGTGGGGAATGTCAGTGGTGCATGACGATAGCGTTCGTGCTAGATATACCACCGTTCAGCGCTCAGTGTATCACCACAATCAGCATGATGGAGATGTATCTTTGCTCACGCCTCAAGATCCTTGATCAGGTGAACCGGTGCGAAATCAAACAACAAGCCGGTAATCAAGTGTGAATACGGCCACCAACTGGGATCATTTGAGAATACGGTCATATTCGAGGTATGGGTGTGAGCAAGTGAGGGATGTTTTTGGTGGTGTTTGTATGACCGTTTGGCGCTCCTATCGTCAAAATCAGCATAACGGAGATGTATATTTGATACCGCCTCAAGGCCTTGAAAAGCCCTGGATAATCAAAGTGCAATTTGATTTACAAACCAGTATCACGCATGCGACTACTCGGACACCACTATCTCCAATGTCATTTTCGAAGTGTTCCGTATGAAACCATGTGGCCATCGATCTAACACAGGTATAACCGTGATGTGATCGCAATGAGCATCTGTGTTCTCTTAGCTTCGCTGGCCAAGCTCGAGACTTGCTATCAGCTCCCCTGATTGCTTTCTGTAACAAGGTCGCATTCTGTAGTATGGCCAAAGTCAGAGAAGAAACACAACAGCGCACTCTATTCGGTGGATCCGATCCGAATGCGCTTGATGTGTTGGTGATGCATTGCACTGGCGGATACATCGTGAATCATGCCGTGCGATTGATAACTATTAAAATAAGACGTACAGCCTCAGTCAGTGGCCTTTGCATTTCAGTGATATTTTGCAGTGCCGGCTTGAGTGGGAGCCGGTAAAGGTTGCGAGGCTAAAAGCGAGATCCATCAGATGAGCAAAGAACGCCGTTGTCAGACCTTCATCATGCTGTGCAATTTCATGGGCAGGCTACAAAAGTCGCATCTCGCATCGTAGTCTGATGCTTGTACATGCATAGCCATCGTACAGACATATTTGCTTCAGAATCCTTATTCCAGCTTCACGGCGTGCCAACGATACAAATTTAATCGATGTTCAGAGGAGGTGCTTTGATGGTTGCTGGATGTGTTGCCGTTATAGGCGTGAAATGGCCGCTGTGCTGTTCGAATGAATGGTTTGTGAATAGCTCGATCGATGCACCAAGCAAGCAGTCGGGGGTGAGGAGATAAAATCTTAGTCGTGGTGTAACTGTCTGGGAGGCCCTGTGGTTGCAGGCGCATTGAGGCTTGCTTGCTGAAATTGAACGTTGGCCACCAGCTGTATTCCATCATAAAGACACCAAATGCGTTGCTGGATATGATGATGGTTCAGAGAAAAAATTGGCCGCGTTGAGGCAGGAGGCTCAAGATACACACGATACTGGACATGATGAATGAATAGCAGTGTTTGCAGGCGCGCACCAAACATAGTACAAAAGATACGTCGGGACCTTATCCGAGTTGGCAACATAGTAACGACGTCTAAAAGCTACCTTCGGTGTTTGCCGAGAGTCGACAAATGAACCAACGTTTACTCTGCTCAAACTCTAGACTGTCACAGTGCTCTGCAAGTAATTGGCTACCAGGGGGACCAGAATTGACATGCGCGTGAAGCTCTATTGACAGGCAGTATGCCATCTGAGGGCGGAGTACTAGATGGACTTTCTTTGTACGTCATGAAAATACTCCAAGCCTTCTTACCCCGCTAACCTTCGCTAGCCTCACAGTGTTACATCAAAGTACGTATGGCAGAATATCGCGATCGGCGCCTTACTGATACTCTCCAGGTGCGCTTGATACCTGAAGCTCCGGACCTCTTCTCTACTCCCCACTCAACACCTGTCATCTCCTTGTGGAGAGGGGCCACATCACCGAGGAGACTATTGGCCTGCCAGGCATGCCTTAAACCACACGTGTATGTTCACTCGATCTAGATAAATGGAATGCTAACAAAATCAGCGATCCGATTCTGACGTCATACTTTTACTGGTTCGTGTCGTTGACCTAATGTGCGTCTTCCAGGATTTGTATCATCATCCATACTTTATCTAACCCGGCATCTATTCCAGGCTATCCTTCATTCATCCATCGTGCTTACATTCAGTGTGGGGCTGTATCGATTTATTCATCACGCGTGGTTGTTCATAATCGAACACGTATCCTAATCCCGCCATCGATACACCTCGCGTCTCCATCGATATTACCTAGAATATCCACTCTCCGGAACTTTATTTTCCCCATGCTGCGTGCAATATATAAATATCACCAGTCACTGGCATCCACCGGCACCCTCATTGGTAGTTGCAACAGCTCACGTACGAAACACCACGATACCCTTCAACGTTCCTGCAAAATATCTTCAAAATTGCCCGGTTCCCACATTCTATCAAACACTTCATTCAAGCGATCATTTGCTTGCCCTGGGAGCGACTATGCATGTGTGCATGCATGTATGTGGTTCGGTGCTTGACTCCGATGGTCATGCTTAGCGAGGGCTCCAACAGAACATCGTGGTCGATACCTCATTAGTAGTTGGATAGGTACGTTTGAGGCCTTCTGATTTGAACCTCCGATTTTCTGATTCTCCACTCCCCACTCAGCAGACACCATATCCAAGTTGTCATGCTCATTTGCAATAGAGACGTCCAGTCAAGCCACGAGTCTACGCGATTCATTCATTTCATTCTCCGTAGCCCATCGGATGGGGGAAATTGCATATGTGCACCGATGAGTTATCAGTCATCTGGCTTCACAATTCGCAGTATCTATATGTCCAGACAGTACAACACCAACGCGCAAAATCAGCTTTCAGGGCACTTTCACTGATTTTTGTTGTTGTATTTTATCATCGGTCATCAAGGACCAAGTTGGTTACTGGACGTTCCGGATAATTTCGCCTTACCACTTGGTTCAAGTGCGGGTACTTCGTTCTAGTAGTGATACAACAAGAAATAGATTTGCCTAGACCTTTCAAATATACTATATGTCAAATAAATATCACAATGGATCCTCGATCAGATTTCTTCTCCCTGCAGACCACTCGGCAAGCATCTCCCTACACGGTACTGCTAGTTGATACATGTACATGCTCCTGGAAAACAATCGAATTCATGCTAGTTTCTGCATCGGAGTCGGCCACAAGTTTGGCGTTATATTCTCGAACACTAAGGATGAGGCGTGGTCCCAGCACAAACATCTGCACGGCCAATAAAATTTGAAGAACACCTTGGAGTAACTGAGCTCCAATGGAAACTGAATTCTACAGAAATGATGAGCAGTGGTTGCACGCAGATGTCAGCAACAGGTTAGCGCACCAAGATTTCTGGAGAAAGATTAGCAAGCTGGAGGCACGAGACACCGACAAAGCTATCAGGTGCAGAACTTGAGCAGAAAATATAACCCTTTTCACATTACAAGCTCACCTTGCAAAATAGAGAACGTGAGATTGTATCAGCACTCTGAAACAGTCCCCAATGGTCGATCCTGTCGATGGGCTGAGACGTCGCACCTCACGGAAGTGTTTCACAGCAATATAGACTGAACAACACAGTGCAAGGACCTCCCAAACAGTGTAGAGTATCCAAACCATTGAGAACAGAAGCTGCTCGTTGCCTCCATATCCATAACCGCACACATGTATGCCAGAGAGTATCATCTCCTCTGGTTTTTGTCCAATGAGCTGTGTTCTTCAAGTCAACAAGTAAAGCTTACCTGATACGGCATACTTGAGGTCTATTGCCGAGATCACTCCGCAGGCAATGTTAACAGCCAGAAACATGATAACAAGGAAGATGAGCATCGTTCTAGATCCCTGATACATGGCATACAACCGAGCAATCATGATGACTTGCATCGTGTGTAAGTCAGGTCAATATCACAGAGGTATTGCACCTGGGTAACTTACCGCCCAACATGGCAGTCAAGGCCACATTTGTGCCATTTAGTGCGTAGTCCGTGATAGTGCCTAAAATTCGCAATTAGTGAACGCCCTCGCACTAATATCAAAGACTCTGACTTACACCTATTGAGTCATTATGTTGAGCCAAGTTCAATGGCTGGAATCTCACTTACCCCTACATATGAATGTGTTGACTTGACTGGATAGGAATGAGATGGCTGCAGAATACTCACTGCATCTGTCAACGATACAAATGGCATAATTTCTGTGTCTCGCCGGTCAGAAAATGGAACACAGCGCATATTAGACATACCCAGAAGATAGATACTAATTGTCAGAGATGAGCTATTAGCACAGTGCAAAGTTGTTGATATCAACACATACACAGAATATGGTATTCCAATATAGCGTATCTAGAATATTTTGGAGTCAGCACAAGTTGCCCAGCACGCTAAAGCACAACATGAGGTACTGACAATCAAATACAGCACGGTCATGAGAGACCAGCGTTGTCTCTGCCGCCAATTAATTGCATTCTCTTATTTTCTTCTGATATGGGACTCTTGTCACTCACCCAGATGAGTTCAATCTATGACGCCATTCTTAGCGAGTTGGCTGCTCCGGCAATAACAGCGACGTACCTCTTGTCCGAGTGTTAAGACTGGAAATACCATGAGAATATCAGCGATTTCCCAACACTGTCCTGCTTACCCCAATCATATACCACCACGACACCGGCGGCAGCTGCAAAATCGCAAGTCAACGTTAGATCTAGACATCTTGATGCGACAAACCTGTCCAATAGCTATAAAAAATATTTGAAATGATTTGCGGCCACCAACTGGGATCATCTGAGACGAAAGTCATGTTCGAGGGATGGGTGAGCGAGTGGGGAATGTCAGTGGTGTATAACGATAGTGTTCGTGCTACATATATGTCACCGTTCAACGTTCAGCCCTCGTATCACCGAGATCAGCATGATGGTGATGCATTGGATATTTGATATGGCCCCAAGACCCTTGATTAAAAGGGTGGGAAATCGAACAAAAAGCCGGCAATCAAAGTAGATTTTGATTTCCAGACTACTTCAAACACCAGCAAATTGCAGTCGTTGGTGATGTCAGCAACTTATTTCCAACGCGATTTTTGGGGTATTTTCGCTGTAGCCTGTAAGCTTGCAAAAATTGAGGAGTTCGCTATAAAATCATGCAGTCATCGATCTAAGACAGGTCAGAGTGTGATAGGTGTGAAACAAGTATGTACTCACTCTTCGGCATCGCTGGCAGAGCCCGAGGCGTAACGGCCCTCTCATAATGGAACAAAGTTCATCCTGTGGTATAGCATTAGAGAACTCGGATCCGAAACTGTGACAGAGAAGCTTAATGATTGTACAGCCTCATCTCGATAGCATTCCTGCTAGAGTGAAATCCGTAAGCCCAGCAACTAGCTAACTTACGGACAAAACCCTGACCGCTGAGACCCCGAAATTGCCTTAGAACCCCTACTCGGATCCAACATCCACCTCGTGGACAACTTCCTGGCATTGTAGATCTAAGGCAGGTGATACAAGTGTTGTCGCCATAAGCGCCAGCTGTCACGGTGTCACGGTTTTGCAAATAAACGGTTTGTGAACAACGAATCACAGTTTGAATTGACGAATCGCTACTAACCAAGCCTCACGATATAACTCATCTCGCCAATCCCTCAGGCTTCAGCTCATCCTCGTTCGACATGCCACAACTCAATTTCATTTCGGGGTGTCTTCTCTACAGACTTCCGATCTGATAATGCCTGCCCATGTGCACCCACGCTAATCTGTATATTCCAATATGGAGTTTGTACCCCAAAAGAATTGGTACGGGTGTTGGAGACGGCTTATTTAGGGTGTCTGCTTTTGACCGGCTGTAAGTTGTTTACCCTGTTCCGCTACTACTCTCGATGACATATGCTGGGCTGACCATCGACATCAGTGCTCATGCGTCCGCTGTCCTCGAGCATAGCACCGTTACACTCTCACATATCGCAAGTACTCTCGGTCCTTCATCCTCCTTTCACCTTATCTCGTATCTGGGCCTCCTCACAGCACCATCAGACTTAGAGTCACGTACGTACATTCACTCTCTGTTTTTCTTGTGGAGAGTCGACGTAATGATTATTCTTCTAGCCTCCCTGCGCACAAAGAGGTGCTTGTAGTGCTGGCCTTTGCATTTATCGTCCATACGTTCCCCAATCTTGAACATTCCTCCCCTTCCCTGATGCAAGATTCGCTTAATCATTGGTCCACATTCAGACCTATACTTGCCCTAACCACACCCAAGAACGATCAGCTCATTTGTCATGTATTCCAACGCTCGAGGTAAGCATCTCTACAAACTTTTCTCTAGGATATGCTCTGACTCCCTGCGACCCACTTGTCGTCCCCTCGTAGTTCATCTGTACGGACAGCCCAGATAGACGATAAGGAAACGGTGGTTGTAATGAAGAACCGTTCCTTTATCAGTCATCTAGGCTTCTGCGAAGAATCTTCATTTCCAAAAACAGAATTTTCTCCTCATCTTCCATTCGCTAGTGTCCACTGACTGGTCCAGATAGATGAGCTAGACCGTTGCGTGCCCAGCTGTCTACTCTTTGACACGCTGCCTAGAGTGCCCGTGATCAATTGATCAGCCACCTGGGCTTCCATGGATTGCGCCTCCTTCGTTCTTCGTGATCAAAAAGCTGATACGCACTACTTTCCGCAAGTAGGTAATTCTAGTATATCAGCTGTCCAGGTTCATGCGCTACCTGGGTGAGCAGATAACGACTTGTTGAAGTGATGTATACTTTCAAGTGGTTATCTCTTCGCTCCAGGGCGACTCTGATCGATACAAACGGATGTATTTTATGCATGTGAGTATCTCGTTTGGTGCTTTACTTCGACGATCATACTACTTGGCAGGATGGAAACAGATCGTTGCAAAGGCCCTAATATAAATCTGCTCTGACTTTTGTGTGTATGCATCCCAGAATCTTGTGGTCGATACCTTACCGACACTTTAACAGGTACACTCACCATGCTCGATGTCCTTGCCACAGGCATTCGTGATATACGCCATCAGTTTCTTTTTCAAAACCGATCACACTCAGTATCGTTGAATTTTACTTGACACAAACGATCATCTATTTCAGCGATGCGTTAGTCCATGCTAATAGCAACGTTCACAATTAACTTGAGGCCTTCTGACTTGAAAGTCCGAATCTCTGATTCTCCGTCCCGACTGAGCAGACCTCATCTCCTTGGCTTATTCGTAACAGTTGAGCCATGCATCCGCGCGATTCTTTCATTTTCATTCCCCATGGGCCGGATGGATGAAAATGCATCTCAGACTCATGAACTATCAGCCATCTGGACTTCCTGATTCCCGGTCACTTCATTATCATCTGTGTGCTCAAGCGGCAGAACTCTGCAAACGTGTAGAATCTGCTAACTATGCAATTTATGCTAATTCTCGTTGTATTTCAGTGTCGGGCATCAAGGATTGAGTTGGCTGTTCGACGTTCCGAATAATTTGATGCATTGAATGTAGGTGGGCAGTTCACTGAGTTCCAGTAGTAATACAACAATAAATAGATTTGCCTAGACGGTCGACTTTTTAAATATACTTCAAAACACCATATGTTACATCAATACCGCGACGAATCTTCAACCAAATTTCTCCTCCTCGGCAAGTATGTTCCTACACAGTACTGCTAGTCGATATATGTACACGCTCCTGGAAAACAATCGAATTCATGCTAGTTTCTGCATCGGAATCGGCCACAAGTTTGGCGTTGTATTCTCGAACGCTAAGGATGAGGCGTGGTCCTAGCACAAACATCTGCACGATCAATAAAATTTTAAGAGCACCGGGGATTATCTGAGCTTGAACAGAATCTGAATTCTACAGAAACAACGAGTAGTGGTTACACGCAGATTTCAGCGACAGGTCAGCGCACCTGGAGCTCTGGAGAGAGATAAGTAAACTGGAGGCAAGAGACACAAACAAAGCTAACATGCGCGGAACTTCAGTGGAAAAGATCGCCCCATTCGAATTACAAGCTCACCTTGCAAAATAAAGCACGTGATATTGTATCAGCACTTTGAAACAGTCCCCGATGGTCGATCCTGTCGTCGATTCGAGTCGTCGCAGGTCACGGAAGTGTTTTACAGCAATCCAGAGTGAAAGACACAGTGTGAGGACCTCCCAAACGATGTAGATAATCCAATTCATTGAGGGCAGAAGCTCGACGTCCCCCTGATATTCGTAATAACATATATACGTGTTGGATGATAGTGTCACTTCGAGTGTTTGTCCAATGAGCTGTGTGCCCCAAGTCAACAAGTAAGGCTCACCCCATGAAGTTTGCTCAGTTAGCAATATTGCCATGATTACTCCGGAGGCGATGTTAACAACCAAGAAGATAGTAACAAGGAAGATGAGCATCTTTCTAGATCTCTGATACATTGCATGTAAGCGAGCAATCATGATGACTTGCGTCACGTTTCAGTCGAGTTAATATCACTGAGGTATTGCGGCTGGGCAGCTCACCACCCAACATAACATATACGAGCATATTTGTCGCATTTATTGTGTAGCTCATATTGTTACCTGAAACACCCAATTAGTAAACACCTTCGCAAGTACTAATATCAAACAGTCCGACTCACACCTATTGAGTCATTATATTGAGCCAAGTTCGATTCAGAATTTCACTCACCCCTACATATGAGTGTATTCATTGGATAGTAATGAGATAGTTGCGGAATACTCACTGCATCTGTCAGCGTGCCAAATGGCACAGGTTCTGTGTGCCGCTGGTGAGAAAAAACGAACACAACGCATATGAGACATACCCGGAACATCGGTACTAATTGTCAGAGGTGAACTGTTAGCACGGTGCCAAGTTGTTGGCCTCGACACGTACATAGCATATGGTATTCCCATATAGCGTATCTAGAACATTGAGCAATCAGCACAACTCACCAAACACGATACAACACAACATGAGGTACGAACAATCAAATACAACACAGTCATGAGAGACCAGCGTTGCTTCTGTCGCGAATTCATTGTATTCTCCTGTTTTTCTTCTGATCTTGTTACTCACCCAGATTAGTTCAATCTATGACATTCTTAGTGAGATGGCTGCTCCGGCAATAACACCGACATACCTCTTGCCCGAGTGTTAGAACTGGAAATATCATGAGAATATCACCGGTTTTCGAACACTGTCCTGCTCACCCCAATCATATACAACCACGGCGCTGGTGGCAACTGCGAAACCGTAAGTCAATGCCAGATCAAGACATCTTCAAGCGACCAACTTGTCCAATAGCTGAAGAAAAAGTTTGAATTGTTTAACAGCCACAAGCTGGGATTGTTCGAGATTACGGTCATATTCGTGGATGAGTGTGAGCGAATGAGGAATGTCAGTGGTGTATGACGATAGCGTTGGTGCTAGATATACCACCGTTCAGCGCTTGCCAATCGCCAAATTTAGCATGATGGAAGATAGATATTGATCCCGCCTCAAGATTCTTGATCGGGTGAAGTAGTAAGTATTGCGGTGCGAAATCAAGCAAAAAGAGGAAGCCCTCGATAATCAAAGTAAACCCGCAGTTTGATTTGCAAACCAGTATTATGACGCAACTAGTACACGGACGCCGAGAAAGGCTATTGACGTTCAGGTGTTCCGTATGGAACCGTGTAGCCATCGACCTAACACAGGTCTAAGCGTGACGTTGATCGTAACAAGCATCAGGGTCTCGCTGGCAAAAGCTGGAGACTTACTAACAGCTCCCAAAACTGCTGTTTGCCAGCAATGTCGCATTCCATTTTGTCACATGGCACCGACAGCAGCGCAGTATATTCGGTGCATCTGATAGTACGCTTGATGAGATGGTGACCAGTGATGTATATCACTGGTGGATACACCATCCATACTAGATCGAAAGAGAAGTCGCACATGAGAGAAAATAAGTCTATAACACGTAAGAAGCCCTGATTTCTGATTGTACATGATCGTTGATGACCCAGGGTGCAAGCATGAAGCCCACCAGCTGCTCTGCCGCAGGTGCACCTGCTGGAGGCAGATTACCTTTGGGAACATCTCTGCTCCATCTTGCTCCATCTCTTGCAACGTGCTGCCGAGTTTAATCGTGCGACCAACCTGTCCAACAGCTGAGGAAAAGGTTTAGATCGTCGAACAGCCACCGACTGCGATCATTTGAGACTAGTACGGTCATATTCGAGGGATAAGTGTGGGAAAATAGGGAATGTTAGTGATGTATAACGATAGCATTAGTGCTAGATATACCACCATTCAGCGCTTGTATCGCCAAAATTAGCATAGTAGAGATGGATATTTGATCCCGCCCCGAGACCCTTGATCAGGTGAAGTAAGTATTGTGGTGCGAAATCAAACCCTCGATAATCAAAGTAGAGTTTGATTGCAAACCAGTATTACACACGCGACTACTTGAACCAGGAAAGTTCCAGTAGTTGATGGTGTCTGCCACTTGTTTCCAACGCGATTTTGTTTTTGCTGCAAATTTGCAAAAATCAAGGAGTTCCTTGTGAAAACATGTAGTCATTGATCTAACACTGGTCTAAGCGTGATGTGATTGAATGAAGCATGCGCACTCTCTTCGGCCTCGCTAGCCGAGCTCAAGGTGTAACAGCCCTCGGATTACTCTTGGCCATTCTGCGGCATGGCACCGGAGAGCTCAGACAAGCGTGACAGAGTGGCTGGAATATATCTCACCTCATCCGTCGCCTGAAACGCTTGAATCGTTGAGCTATCATGATTATATCAAAACGCTAAACAAAGAGATCGTAAGCATAGAGCAAATTCAATACAAAGCGCACTGTATTCAATGCATCGCACTGGCAGATACATCCTGATTCGTGATTGATGTTGAGTATTTCTACGACACCATCCCAAAATCAAAAGGGAAATTGCACACGGGAGACAATAAGCCTGTAACACGCTAGAAGCCCGATTTCTGATTCCTCATCTCGATGGCATTGTGTTTCAGTGAACTTCTATCCTGTAAGAGTGAGATCTGTCAAATTGGGAAGACTAGACGTTGGGGCAGGGACAACCTGTGGTGATGAGCTTAATTGGCCCAAGCTACGAACACAGTGATAGTTTACATGCTGACTAAGCTACGGAAAGTACCTTGGAGACCGCAAATGCACAATCCCTTGGAACCCTACTCAAACTTAGTTTGATGTTACCACCTCATACGCATATAACTCAAGTCCAAGGAGCAAAATTTTACCATCGCGCACGATGTTTGTCACCAGCCAAAACTTTAATGCATGTCAGCAAATCAGAAAAATCACATAGTAAGTATTTGCTTTTGGCAGTGTGACACCCAGCCAATGATCGCTTTCAAGTTCAAACGTCTATATTTATAGACACTGCCACAAACAACGGAAACCGTTGAGACCCGGTGCTCTGCGAGCCATCCTAGGAGATAGTATATGAGACAAGGAAGACGGTATAGTACGAATAGCCAATAGAGTATGTTTTTGATGTTGATGTTTTTAGTGTCTTACTCTGAGCGCTCTGAGCGCTCTCAGCCTCGATCGGTCGTGCTTAGCAGGTGCTCCAACAGAATATCGTGGCTGACAGTGCTGATGCCTCATCAGTATTTTGATAGGTACACTCAGGCTTGAGGCTTTCTGACTTGAAGCTCCAATTCTCTAATGCTCTAATTCTCCATTTCCTTCTCGGTACCTCATCGACATCTCCTTACCATACCTCATTCGCGATAGGGGCGTACAGCCAATCCAGGAGTTGCGCAATTCATTCGCTCATTCTCCGTAGCCGGCGGCCTAGATGGGGGAAAACGCATCTGAGCACCTATGAGTTATCAGCCATATGTCCGTGCTTCACGCCTCACAATCACTTTTTCATCATTCCTATGTTCAGTCAGCGAAACTCCGCAGGCGCGTAGAGTGTCTGGGCACTTTGACTGATCTCGTTGTAGTTCAATATCGGATATCAGGGAACGGGTTTGTTGCCAGGTATTCCAGATAATTTCAACTTGCCACTTGGTGCAAATGTGGGTGGGTAGCTACTTCATTCCAATAGTAATGCAACAAGAAATAGGTTGGCGTAGATCTTTCAAATATACTTCGAAACACGATATGTTAAATAAATATCACGACAGATCCTGCACCAATCTCTCCTCCCTGTAGACCACTCGGCAAGTATGTCCCTATACAGTACTGCTAGTTGATACATGTACATGCTCCTGGAAGACAATCGAATTCATGCTAGTTTCTGCATCGTAGTGGGCCACAAGTTTGGCGCTATATTCTCGAACACTAAGGATGAGGCGTGGTCCCAGCACAAACATCTGCACGCCCAATAAAATTTGAACAACACTACTGAGTATCTGAGCTCCCATGGATGATGAATTCTACAAAAACAATGATCAGTGGTTACACGCAAATGTCAGTGACAGCTCGGCGCACAATGAGTTCTGGAGAGAGATAAGCAAGTTGGAGGCAAGGGACACCAAAAAAGCTAAAATGTGGGGAACTTAAGCAGAAAAGATAGCCGTATTCACATTACAAGCTCACCTTGCAAAATAAAGCACGTGAGATTGTATCAGCACTTTGAAACAGTCTCCGATGGTCGATCCTGTCGATGGGCCGAATCGTCGCAGTTCACGGAAGTGTTTTACAGCGATCCAGATTGAAAGACACAGTGCGAGAACCTCCCAAATAGTGCTGAGGATCCAAGTCATTGAAAACAGAAGCTGGGTGTCCTGCTCAGATTCATAAGCGCACATATATGTACCAGAGATTATCCACGCCTCTGGTTTTCGTTCAATGAGCCGTGTTCTTCAATTTAACAAGTAAAGCTTACCCTCTACAGTATCCTTGAGTGCTATTGTCATAATGACTCCGGAGGCGATGTTAACAACCAGGAAGACAATAACAAGAAAGATTAATATCATTCTAGACCTCTCATACATGGCATACAATCGAGCAATCATAATGACTTGCATTATTGTTGGAATCGAGTCAATATCACAAAAATATCGTAGCTGGGTAACTCACCGCCCAACATGACAGTTAGGACCACAGTCGTCCCATTCGTTGTGTAGTACAAAATGTTACCTGAAACACCCCATTAGTGAACACCCTCATAAGTGCTAATATACCACACTCCGACTCACACCTATTGAGTCGTTATGTTGAGCCAAGCTCGATGTTCAGAATTTCACTCACCCCTACATATGAGTGTATTAATTAGATAGTAATAAGATGGTCGTGGAATACTCACTGCATCTGTCAGCGAGACAAATGGCACAAGTTCTGCGTGCTGGCGGTCAGAAAAATCGAACACGGCGCATATTAGACATACGTAGAACATTGGCACTAATTGTCAGAGATGAGTTATATTAGCACGGTGCCAAATTGTTAGCCTCGACACATACATAGAATATGGTATTCCAATATAGCGTATCTAAAACATTGGGGAGTCAGCACAACTTGCCAACCACGATATAACACAACATGAGGTACGAACAACTAAATACAGCACAGTCATGAGAGACCAGCTTTGCTTCTGTCGCGAATTCATTGTATTCTCCTGTTTTTCTTCTAATCTTGTTACTCACCCATATTAGTTCAATCTATGACATTCTTAGTGAGATGGCTGCTCCGGCAATAACACCGACATACCTCTTGTCCGAGTGATAGAACTGGAAACATAGTGAGAATATCACCGGTTTTCGAACACTGTCCTGCTTACCCCAATCGTATACAACCACGCCGGCCGCGACTACGAAACCATAAGTCAATGTTAGATCGAGACATCTTGATGCGACAAACCTATCCAATAGCTACTACAGATGTTTGAATTGATTATCGGCCACCAACTGGGATCATTTGAGACTACCGTCATGTTCAAGGGGTGGGGAATGTTGGTGGTTGTACCAATAGCGTTCATGCTACGGTCCAGCTCTTTTATCGCCGAATCTGTATGTTGGAAATGAATATTTAATCCAACTTATTATTAACGCCATTGTAGAGGTGTTCCGTATGGAACCATGTGGCCATCAATCTAGCACAGGTCTAAGCGTGATGTGATCGTAACATGCATCAGCACTCTCTTGGCCAAGCTCGAGACTTACTAACAGCTCCCGAAACTGCTTTTTATACACAAGGTCGCATTCTGTCGCATGGCACAATGCCAGACAAGAAACACAGCAGCGCACTATATTCGGTAATCCGATTATGCGCTTGATGAGATTGTAATGTATTGCACTGGCAAACACATCTTGACCCATGCTGTGTGATTGATATCTGTTAAATACAAGACGCCATCCATATTAGATCGAAAGAGAAGTCGCACATGGGAGAAAAGAAGCCTACAGCATGCAAGAAGCCCCGATTTCTGATTGTACAAGCTCGTTGATGTCCATTGTATTTCGGTGATCTTCTTCAGGCCCGACTTGAGCTGTAGCTGATATATGTTACGAGTCCATAGCAAGATCTATCAGATGAGCAAAGGACGCCATTGTCGGACCTTCGTCATGCTCAGCAATTTCGTGGGCAGGCTATGATAAGTCGCACCGTAGTCTAACGATTCCACCTTGCACATGCATAGCTGAAGTCCGTAGAGAAAACAATATCTTAACCGCGCTGTTTTCACTATTTCCGATTTAGAACCTGGGATATATGTCGGCGAATCAGATGAGATCGCATTGTATTCGCAGTTCGCGGCTTTCACTCACCCATCCAATCATTGCATTCAAAATTCATAGCTTATTGACTCGATGCAGAAGTCGAGGATACGAAATATGCAGGCAGCTCGACATCAATTGTGGTTTCTCCTTCTCTCGAATTACTCCTCCTAGTACCTGACCTGCGCCCTTTGAACCTTTCCAGGATCTGTTCAGTAGAGCTGAACCACCTTCGGTTTCAGAGCAAGACGCTGCCTTGCTGTCATGATTGAAGGTGGCCCGTTAGTAAATCTTCTTGCGGGCGCTGACATAGATAAGTCGTGTGGCCTCCACTTCTACGGGCATATTTTCACATCATAATTGAAGCACTTTGGATCAAAAAATATCAGGTGGGGCATTTATTATCATACAGACACACCATTGCTTCAGAATCCCTATTCCACCTTCACAGGGTGCTGACGATGCAATTCCGAAGTAGTCACATGTCGTTACATGCAGATGAAGCATACAGTAAGCATTCCATTTTCACGTGGACGTGCTCAGCCTGGACGGTACAATTGCTGCGTTCCAGAGAAATTACCACACGAACGTTCCTATACCGTATATCCACCCTTTCCATGGTGCTCCGAGCGCCTCAAATACCCAGATATCGTTAGGTGTCTTCCATAGGCTTCGACGTCGATATGTTGTTTGAGAGAGGGAAGTTCGACGGTTGCAGTCACTGTCAGGGCTTCGGATTTCGAGAGTAGGTCCATCTTGTGTTGGCGCAGGTCAGTGCCATCGAGTATTAAATACATGAAATTTATGATATACTTATCTGTGGCACACTCAATCGCGATGAATCAGGAACTGCCCTCGACGGTAGTTAAGGAGAAACGAGCACCGAAAATGACTTGTCGAAGGGATCGTAGAATGTGCCCACATCATCAGTGGATCGGCGAGTTCTTGCTGATGAAGCGAATATGTGATGGATGTTCAGAGAAGGTGCTTTGATGGTTGCTGGATGTGTTGTCGTGATAAGCACGAAATGGCCGCTGTGCTTTGCAAATGAACGGTTTGTGAACAGCGAATCACAGCTTGATCGACGCACCGAATAGACAGTCGGCGGTGAGGAGATGGAAACTTAGTCACGATGTAAGTGACTGGGACTCCCGAGAGCTGGCAGGGCCGATTACGTTGTGGTTGAAGGCGCATTGAGGCAAATTGTACGTTAGTCACCGGCTGTGTTCGGTAAAGGCACTAAACGCGCTGCTGAGACTCTATGCTGATGGACCAGAGAAAAAACTGGCCGCTTTGAGGCAGAAGCACACGATACTGGACACGATAAATCAATATTAATAGCAGTGTTTGCAGGCGCGCACAAAACATATAGTACGAAAGATACGGGGTCTCTGTCTGTTCTCGGGCAACAATAAACCCAGCGCTTTGACAAAAGCAGTGTCACTTCGGCAATTGCCGAAAGTCGATGCCAGACTTTGAATATGAAGCGTGTATTTGAGTGCAATTCAAGCAAGTAACCACGGGGCGTTATATGTACCTACACCCCTCGACATTTTCACTACAAAGCCATCTGGACAACACGATGCAAGCCAGCTATATACAAACCCAGTACTCAAAGGTTATGCTACTTCTACCATTCGGGACACAACGCTGATGGTAGTCCAGAATTACAAGTTCAACTTGAAAATGTGCAGCCCATCTATAGATTGAACAAATCAGACAGATTTTCTTCACAATCGCTCTCCTCATCGTTGTCTCTTTCGGACTCTGCGCACTTCAAACACCAAGTTTCATGCAACCTCCAGAAGGTTTGGTGCGAGTCCCGAAAACGTCGGTTGTTCTGGACGCACGCGAGATCTGTGTCGCCGACAAATTCTACTGCATCATTAATCCCAGGCCAATCCTCTAGCAGCCAACACATGTTGTCTTGAAGACCGGACAGCTCTGTTTCCCTGACGATGCTGAAAAAACAGCAGCGCCTGAGATAACCGAGCGTGTCCTCCACCCAATTATGGCTATTCCAGCAGGGAAGATCGCGGACGATGACAACTCTTGTAAGGAGTGTCTCCATGGCGTCGAGCTCCGTCCTGCTCACGCTTCCGACTATACAACTTCCACGCAAGTCCTCTGGGTTTTCGAGAGGTTGGTCGAGTCTGATATCGATGGCATAGTTTTTGGAGTCTCCTGCGATCTGATACGTGTTTCCGATGCCAGGACTGGTTTCGACGTAGATAGCCCAGTGAAGTGGATAGGGCCGTCGGGGCTCTTCCTCGCCTCGCCAGAATTGGACAACTTGAACGTTATAGGGTTTAGTTTCTATTTTCGAGAATCGCTATAGGACTTGCTAAGTCGCAGTTCGCTGTATTTTACGATAGTGTGCTTACCAACAATGTAGACGACATATTGAACGAGGATGGGAGTGTGTGAGGTTTGAATTCATCGGCGACTTGTATTTTATACCCAGGCCCTTGTGGCTTAAATTTTTCTTTTTAGGAATGTGGATGCAACGTGACGTTCATTGTGTTCGATGACTATGCACTTTGGGTGGACCACTGATTACCTTCGCGATCGAACCACTTACAATAGCCCATTCAAATGCAATAGATGTCTTGAGCTCCACTGGGCTAAACCCTGCTAGGTCGCAAGTCCACACCCTCCCGCTCATTATTGTTACTGATCGTAATGTGGATTCAAGGTTTCAACAAAATTGTCATTTTTCATACTCCGTGAATACTCTGAGCTTATCGACCTTGGTTTGGTTTTAGTTGTCATAAAACAAGGCTTGGAGGTCGACGTGGTTCCACGCGCCACAATTCGAAGTGAGGTCGTTTGGCAGAAATTTTAGGTACAACATGTTTTGGTGTGTGTAAACTAAAGGTGTCGTAGAATTAAAGGACATTGATTCGACTGTGAGCGAATACCCTCGTCTTCGCTCGAGCCACCCCAAACCCGGGTTATCGACATCCCCAGCCTACACCTATAACGTCAAAAGTCAACCCATAGGAGGCAGCTTTGAGGTGGGTGTTGATTTTTTTAATTTGCAGATAATTAGTAACAAGGTTCATTATAGTCATCAACATCCACAGAGAGTCCATGCTCATAAAAAAGGTGCATCAACTATCGGTACCATGGGAGGTAGCTTTCAGGTGTGTTGTCTCTGAACTCTCGATCCTTAATACTAACGGTTTATCATAGTAGAAGGAATGACGGTCTTCCTTTTATTCGATCTACCCAAGGCTGTAAACTCACAGTCAACCTGTACTCTTGTGCTGGTGCCAATATTGTGTATAACTCAATGCCGCACACCATACTCTTACCAATCCAAAAATGCTCAACTGCTCTTGTACGAGAATGTCTGCGGCATCTTGCATCTTTAGGGAGCGGTTCCGCTTCACAGGATGGAATATAATCAACGGTACAGCATAGTTGACATCGACGCGTCACTCTCACCGATTCCTTGAATCATTGCCATTAGCTATTTGACGCAATGTGCTTTCACAATGTGTGCCTATGCGAAGACTTCGGAACATCTCATCCGGTTCCAAGAGAGTTGTAAGTTTATGTTCTACACGACACAGAGCCCATTCACATACTGATGCACAGCACCCTGCTAGTGCACTACAACTCTATTTATTTCTGATGTGGTCAGCCATGTTGACGATGGCCAGATTCTCTGACAGTCAAATACCCTTTCAAAGTTGCGATGTGCTATCAGCCATCTTGGCCTCTGTGAATCACGGCTATCTCAACTTCCCTCTTTATCTTTAGCTAGATGATTAAGTATTCTGTGACTAGGTGTAATTTCTGGTTTATCAGCTGTTTGGGTTTAGACACGTACCCGTGACAGCAAATTATCATCTGACGTGATGCAAGCGATCATTTGCTTGTCTAAGAGCGACTGTGATCGATGCCAACGGGTATATGTAGGTATGCACGTCTCTATCTCGTTTTGTGCTTTACTCTGATGGTCATGCTTAGCAGGATGGACTCCATTGAGCAGAGCTTTGCAAGAACCGTGTTTTGCATTTGCACTGGTAAACGTTACCGCAGTGCAACTCGATCGTGGTATCAACTGTCTGGGCGACTCATACTGATTCTCGGCGTATTGTAGTATCAGCATCAAGGACTGGACGGTTCACTGAGTTCCAGTAATGGTGATACAACAAGAAATAGGTTTGCCTAGACCCTTCAAATATACTTCAAAACACTATATGTTAAATAAATACCACAACGAATCTCCATGCAGAACGCTCGACAAGCATTTCCCTACACAGTACTGTCAGTTGATACATGTACACGCTCCTGGAAGACAATTGAAGTCATGCTAGTTTCTGCGTCGGAGTCGGCCACAAGCTTAGCATGATATTCTCGAATGCTAAGGATGAGGCGTGGTCCCAGCACGATCATCTGCACGTCATATAAAATTTGAAGAGTACCAAAGAGTATCTGAACTCCCATAGAATTTGAATTCTGCAGAAAATGAGCAGTGGTTACCAGCGCTCGTTGACAGGCGGGCACACCTCGAGCTCCGGAGGGATGATAACAAGCTGGAGGCAAGAGACGATAGCAAAGCTAACATGTGCAGAACTTGAGCAGACAAGAAACCACATTCACACGACAAGCTCACCTAGCAAGATAAAGCACGTGAGATCCTATCAGCACTCTAAAACAGTCCCCGATGGATGATCCTGTCAATCGGTTGAGTCGTCGCAGGTCACGAATTTGTTTTACAGCAATCCAGACTGCAAGACACAGTGCAAGGACCTCCCAGATGATATTAAGCATCCAAACCATTGAGACCAGAGGCTGGATATCCTCCTCAAATCCGTATTTGCACATTTATGTGCCAGAGAGTATCAGCTCCTCTGGTGTTCGCCCAATGAGCTGTGTGGGTCGTTCTTCAAGTAAAGCCTACCTGCTGTGGTGCGCTCGAGTTCTATTGCCGCAATTACTCCACAGGCGATAATGACAGCCAAGAAAATAATAACAATGAAGATAAGCATCATCCTGGATCTCTGACACATGGCATACAACCGAGCAATCATGATGACTTGCATCATGTTTCAGTCGAGTCAATATCACTGAGGTATTGCGACTGGGTAACTCACCGCCCAGCATGGCAGCCACGATAATGTTTATTCCATTTATTATATAGTCCACAATAATGCCTGAAACACCCAATTAGTGATCACGTACTAGGATCCAACACTCCGACTCACATCTATTGAGTCATTACATTGAGCCAAGTTCAATTTTCAGAATCTCACTCACCCCTACACATGAGCGTATTCATTGGATAGGCATGAAATGGTTGCAGAATACTCACTGCATCTGTCAACGAGACCGATGGCATACTTGCTGTGTACCCCGGTCAGAAGAATCAAACACATCGCATATGAGACATACGCAGGACGCTGACACTGATTATGAGAGACAGCTATTAGCACAGTACCAATTTGTTGGCCTCGACACATACACAGAATGTGGTACTATTCCAACATAGCGTATCTAGAATATTTGGAGTCAGCACAACTGCTATAGCATAGCATGAGGTAGTACGAACAACCAGATACAGCATAGTCATAAGAGACCAACGTTGCTTCTGTTGTGTATTCTCATATTATTTCACCTGATATACGAGGCTCTATCACTCACCCAAATCAGTTCAATCTATGACATCATTCTTAGCGAGTTGGTTGCTTCAGCAATAGCACCAACCTACCTCTTGTCCGATGGTTAGTGCTGGAGATATCATAAGAATATTAGCGACTTTCGAACACTGTCTTGCTCACCCCAATCGTATACCACCACGACGCTGGAGGCAACTGCCAGACCGCAAGTCAATGTTAGATCGAGACATCACCAAGTGATACGACGAACCCGCCCAATAGGTGAAAAAAATATTCGAACTAATTATCGGCCAAAAACTGGGATCATTTGAAACTACAGTCATATTCGAGGGAGTGGATGATGTAGGGAGCGATCTAGTGTTTCAAGTCGTGCTAGATATCATCGGCGCTTGTATTGCCACAATCGGCATAGTAACTTAATCGTCAGGTGAAGTAAGTACCGCGGACCGACGGGAGTACTTACACCCAAACTTGTGATATGATATAACATTCTGGAGCTTCCAGTTGTCGGTCTCCATTTCCTTCAAATTCGAAGTCTACCTTCATTATATATTGAGTGTGTTTTTCGCACTTTAGCGCAGGACATGGTTCGGTTCAAGGTAAAAATTTGGTTTTCAACAGTATATAGCGTGTTCGCTCATCTGATCAAACAAGAATCGCTGGCTCCTTGTCGAATTCGTTGACACGTCTACGGTGGACGCTTCCGCTGAAAAAGGGTCTCTAAGCACACGACCCCTGGACGGAAGGTTGATCTACAACGCTCTTCGCGACAGCGTTGTGACAAACTTTGGCGACACTGGATGGGGAGCAGTAGGCATGTCGTTGAACGGTGTGTATATCCTTCGTAATACTCCAGCTTTTCATCTTAAATAACTACAGTCAAGTACTTTTCACCGCTCACGAACCTCTGTATCATTCGCGTTGCACGAGATCAACATCGAATTGCATGGGGTGCAGTCACGCTTCTCACCAACATCCACGATGTCAGGGTCATTCCGCGTGTTATTCATGTCTCAGGTAAGGTTGTGTTTTTGTGGGTGTCTGCCGTTCTTGAAACAAATTCTGGAATTGCCAACATATCATGTAGGCACCATCAAACATACGCAACTCTCTGCAATCGCACACAACCGAGAAGTTATTGCGCGGTTTCGAACTAAACTCAAAAATACCGGTAAGCATAGTGGATGCAGATGTGGGCGGGTTGCTCAATTTCTGTGTTGATATGCAGCACTCCATCATGACTCATACGACGATTATCTTGCGCGAAGTACTCGTGAGATAGAGGCTTTGCATGACTGAATCAGTCTGGGGGTATCGTGACCCTTGTGACTCTGAGGAGCTCTTCAGTTCTCTCATTTTTGGTGGTGCGCTTTGAGCCTGCATTCTCAGATTGCTCCCAACGTCCACCCTTTGCTGCACGAAACCTGGCTAGCGTCAAGAGTCAGCATGGTACATATACTTGCAGTCGTTCGCGCGGCCCTGGCTCAAGAAGGCACGCGTAGGAATTGCGTAGGAACAACGTAGGAATCACAAGCGAAGAGACGGAGGAGCAGGATAGGAATTTGTGACGCGGTGTGTATGGCTACATTTCAAGTCGACCAAGATTATGTTATGCCTCTAAAAACAATATTTTACAACTTCGACTCCATCCATACTCCTACACCCTCTCCTTCGGCCACACTCAGCCACTGTCTTTCGACTTCTTTTTCTCTCGCGACCCATGCCTGTGCCCAGTCGACAATACCATCTACCAGTCTCTTTACATCGTCACGAGTGTGTCCTGCGTGCAAACATACTCTTACTCGAGATGTTCCCACAGGAACTGTGGGCCATGTGATTGCTTTTGTAAACAGTGGTTGTGGAAGGGAGGCCAGATGTGCAGCAAGGGAATGTGGATGAGGCGTGAGGAGAGGAATGATGGGTGTCGGGGGAGGAAAGGATGGATCGGACGGACTATTTGTGGAATCCTTATGATCATCCGTGCGTAGATGGCCAGGCAAGCAGAGTAGTTCGGGTGGAGCTGACTGTAGGTGGGGTCTTAGAAGCTCCAAGAAGTACTGTGATAGATCTAGGAGATGCAGCGCGAGCTGAGTCTATGTTAATAACAGGTTTACGAACTTTCGGGATACAGCTTACCACTTCTGCACTTCCATTCTCCAGCATATCAAAGGCACACTCGACGCCGATGATATTTGCATACGTGAGCGTCGTGGTGTATATCAGTGGACGGCCATAATTCAAGAGGTAATCCCGTATGAGTTCGGTAGTGAGTATCGCAGCTATATCGATGATCAGGATGTTGTGCAGCAATGTAAGTGACAAAAACTCGCACCTCCTGATCCCGCAAGCGCCTTCCCGAACGTATGCAAGCGCGCCAGGACGCGTCCCTCAAGTCCTAGCGCAGCAACCATCCCTCGACCCTGCGGGCCATATATCCCTGTTGCATGCGCCTCGTCCACTATCACATATCCATTATTCTTTGGCAACAATTCTTCAACGCAGTGCACGATTTCGTGTAAGGGTGCGAATGTCCCATCCATGCTATATAGGCTTTCCACCGCAACGAATGCGCTTGCTCTCCCATCTCGCAGATCATCTCGCTCGTGGAGTAATTTTCGCAACGATCGCTTGAGCGCAGCGACTGAATTGTGTGAAAATTTGATGAGGCTGGAGGGATCTACTCGCGAAGCACCCATCCCATCATGCACAGATGCGTGGATATGCTCATCGTATAGAATTACATCGTCAGGCTGAGGAATTGCGGAGAAGAATGCAACGTTTGCATCGAACCCCGAGTTGAATAACAGTGCTTTTTCAGCGCCGAAGAATCTTTCCAGTCGATTTTCGAGGGCGACATGGGCAGGTGTTGGTACAAGTAACCGAGAACCACCTGATCCGAGTATTTTAGGGGCAGTGGAAAGAGCATGTTGGAACGCCGTGCGAAGGGTCGATGATGTAGCCAGAGAGAGATAGTCGTTAGATGTAAAATCTGCAGAGGGGAGCACTGGAGAGGCTGAGACAGGGAGACGTCGGCGAATGTGCCGTTTTTCTCGGGATGAAAGGGCAGCGGCGAGTTTATCGTTCAAAGACGACATTATTGTACAATGATTGGATGTTATGAACAAAGTACATGGGGCGATCAAGCTTTGGGCGTGACACAATTTGGCACCTTACATATTTTGAACGGAGGTAGAACGGCCTTTATCTGACTTGGTACGATGGTGATCTTTATGATAGTACAGAGCTTACGAGGACGAGAATCTAATCCATTAGCTGCAGCACAGAAAACCCTTGCTTTACAGTTGATTAAGGGAAATTTTTGGGAAGTTGTTTTAAAACTTTAAAAAAAAATTGACTGTGCAACATGTTGAGTATAACTCAATCAGTTTAAATTTACATCTGAGCGGGCTCTAGAAGCATGTGTGCCTGATAATCGGAAATGATTATGAGCATTAATGCGCCGTCGTTGGAAATATTGTCTAGCATGCCTCATGTCCAAGACCCATTGACAGCTTGGTCTAGAAAACTCGCAGAAATCACTTGCCCCTGCAAGTTGTCGGACATGTCATGGAAAACCCTTGACAACCAACCAGGAAGGATTGGACATTTAATAATATACTCCAATCTACGAGTAGACGTCTCTGTGAATGCAGCATGACGTGCGAGGCACCCTAGAAAATGATAAAATCTAAATTGTGCAGGGTTACCACGTACCGCAATATAATCGAATGATCATCAACGTAAGGCTCGCACCATCAACCCAAGCAGGACTAAGCTGAAATTTTGGCAGATTTTACCCTCTTTTCTCACTTGGCCCGCTGTGTCAAATCCATGACGATATGATACAGGAGGGCCGGGTATTTCCGACCATTACAGCAGGCGACACGAGGGTGCTAAGAAGAAGGTGCACACTGTGCCCGTCAAGATGATGGAAAAGGGATATTACCATACCAAAGCAATGTGTGGGAAAATCCTGAAGAAGGTAATAGGAAAGTTGAGCTCGACACAGCAAAAGTACATCCCATATCACTCACATATTTGCAGGAATGGATGTTGGTATCCCAAACATCTATTCAATTACCGCTCATCAGAGTTTACTTGAATACTGTATAGACAGCGTCTAGCCTCATCGGATGAATGTAGTAATCACCCCTTGCTAAATGAATTGCAAAGTAACGCGCCGACCTTGCGGTTGGCAAACGTGTGCAAAACCAGGCTTGGAAAAAAACACCGCCCCGATCAGTCACCTCATCCTGATTATCTTGGACAATGGGATCCGATCTGAGTAATGCGACATGGCAATACTGGGTGTTCGGCGTGTATCGGTTTTACCCTCAAATGAGAATCGCCATCCCATCCGAGTATTCACTGTGTGTGATAGATCAACCTGTTGGATAATCATGCGTCCGGCTTCTGGCATTTCATCTGTAATCCGAACTAGGAGGCTGGTGGGTTATCAAGGCTTCAAGGTAGATGCAAAGTAGGATACACACAGATGCAGCCCTTGGTATTTCTCATTTCATTGTAGACAGCATCAACTTTGACACCTTGACGTGAGCAAATAGAAATGTAGAGACGGTGCGAGTCGATGCGAATGCTTTGGCAACGAGGAGACGCAGTGACAGATCTTGACCCTTAAGGGCCGCCTGTCCAAGCAGATGGGCCCCGCAACGCCAGTGTTGCTATACCCTGAGCACCCTGAGTCAGCTGCAAAAAGCGAACGTCGTATTAACGTCACGGCGTTGAAGTAGTCTGCGTGGATTGATAAATCAGAAGCTACGTAGAAACTGGTTAGCATGTACCCTGATGGCCTTATAGGCCTTTCGTACGTCGCATGTTGAGAATTTTGCATTTGATCTCTAGTCTGCCAGCGGACGCCGGGCGTTATGTCATAACCGGTGACAGTTCGTGTGCGGTGCCGCGGTTTATATTATGTGGCCACCATTCCATTCTGTGCTAGTACTAGTACTAGGTGAAGTTTAACGGCAATAAAATTTGAGTAGATCGCTGTCAGATTAAAATAATTACCTTTCTCTCTACGATGCCTGATGCGGATAGAAGCACTTCCACGGGCAAACGCGAAGAAATCATTAGCCAGCCATACCCAGTGGCTGGAATGCTGGAGTTGTCAGCCAGAACCAAATTTTGAAAGCTTGTTTCGGGATATTAGTTTACAGCCTGAAGAACATGCTGTCGGGGAGAGCCCACCAATGAAAGAACTCACTTCCTTGCTGGGGGTTCTCGTCTCACACATGAACGTAAAGCCATGATCATTTGAATTCCAGGCCAGAAGCAGATCATGCAGGCAGCCTATCCAAATGGAGCATGATGCGGTGCGATCGGTGGCTGAACAAGGTCACACCGGCAGTGAATAATCGTATCAGATCTACCCGCAAAGGGTAGTTCAAGGCAGGCCAAGTACTGCAACTAGAGAGGTTGAGTTGACAGCAATCTGAGGGCAGTTCGGACGTTCAATCCAACTGTGATCAGTGTATTCCCTTTGTATATTTCTCCCAGTTTACAGCCTATATTGCCTGGCATTATATTATCGCCATTAGGCGCCGAATTTATCTGTAGCTTGTGTCAGTATATGCGACCATTTAACAATAAGAATCATGACTTGACATATATATCAAAGTCGAGATCGCTGTCGACGTCTCAAACTTCTCTCTGTCCGCGGATTTAGAGCCCGGCGGCAAACACGAAACGATCTTGAAGCTTGACCTGTACCTGCATACGCGCTTATAGGTGCAGTGCCTCACAGATTAGAAATTTGATGGTCGGTAAGAAACATACGATCATCGCACGGATGAACTGTCGGATCCGTTGGGGTTTGTAGACCAAGAAGTTGTCGTCGCTTGACGTTCTATACAGACAATCTTTAAACCTTGAAGCTTCCAGACTTAGAGGGCTTGAAACGAACTGTGTTTCAATGCAGCGCTTGTTGAGCGCTTGTGCATCTAAGTCCTATATTTCAGGATAAACCAATAATTGAAAAGATTACCACTTGTTGATTATGTAATCATGCATCGTGTTTGCCAGCGACGCTATTACTTGTGGCTTGGAAGATAAGTGAGGCCTTGAGCGCCTTGAGGCCTTCATTAGTCCTATAAGTATAACCACTAATGCACAATTGTAACAAGCTTCTTACCTGAGAACCCCCGAAGTTTGCAAGAACCAGCTCCTCATGCCGGCATCTCACGACGAGCGCTCAAGTAGGATCAAAATTACCAAAGGGACCCACGTGGAAGGTTTGCTGAGGATGCACCAAATTGAATTTTCCACCCTATGAAAGTTCCGTGCAAGTCGCCGTTCACGTGCCGAGGGCAGTTGCAATAGGTACTTCGGTAGTTCTCCTGCTTTTCTTTTTTTGGCACTGGTGAAGACTTTCAAACTATATATTTATGTGCCTCCATTGCATATGACGATTTCCCGAGTAGCCCTTATTTTTTCGACTTTCTTACCTTTGTTGGCTTAGATGTCTGGAAAAGTATGTTATATCTATCCCATCTGATGCTAGGCACATCTATTGACTCAACCTCTCCAGGCAGAACTGTCCATAAATTTTCTTGTCGTCGGTGGCGGGATCGCAGGTCTTTCATGTGCGATAGCATTGAGACGAGTCGGCCATCATGTTGTTGTTCTCGAGCAATACTCCGATTCAGATATTTCGAAGGTCGGTATCCCACAACTATCCACGTCGTAGCATTCTCATTGTGCCACTGGACAGATGTCGCACGGAGGCATTCGGTTGCCTCCAAACGTCTCGAAAGTTCTCTTCCATTGGGGCCTCGAGCGCGCTCTTCGGAAAGTATCCCTAACGTCCAGTGCTATGGAGATTGAGATTTGTTCGTATATATCAGCACATTACCTCCACTCTATAACTGACTATCTACAGACGAAACCGGCGAGTTTATTGGTACCCATCATTGGAAAGAAGAGGTTCTCCGAGTAACTGGAGGAGATTTCCTCTTCCTGCATGTATGTGTAATCTCCTGCCCTCGCTTCAGATTAATCTCATCTGTTCATACAGCACGCCGGTCTCCGACAAGTTTTGTACGATGCTGCTATAGCAGCGGGCGCTGAGGTGCTGGCAGGCACAACAGTTGTCTCCGTAAATGGCGATGGCCCCCGCGTGACGTTGTCCACGGGAGAAACACTGCTGGCCGACGTGATTGTCGGCGCCGATGGCCGCTCGAGTATAGTGCAACAAGCAATCGTTGGTAATGATGTTCTCGACGCAGCGCCATATCAATCTTTATTCTACAAGTAAGCATTGCCTGGACTTTGTTAATTTACTCGTCGTCTAACTGCCTTAGTACTACTGTCCCGGGAGCACTTATGAGAGCTGATCCTGAATTGGCACCTTTCTTTGAACAACCCGTCGTAAGTCACAATTGTACGATCATAATTGGCTTTAATGTAATGTTCAGGAGACTATGTTTATTTGGCTAGGCAACAATCGCTCGGCTGTGGCATTCCGTATGGTATGTTAACATTCGTGAGGTATCGTGCTTAATCTAACAGCTCCTGAGTAGGGGGGTAAGGATGAGTTTGCGCTACATCTATGGGTGCCTCCCAGGCAAAAGGGGCTATCCGATGATGATTGCTGGGGAGGAGGCCTCGACTTAAAGGAGATGCGACGGCAGCTTGGAGAATGCGAACCGAGGTACAACGAATCTAGTGAAAATTGTTTATTCTGGCTGATTGAAAATCTCAGACTCCTAAAGATGACCAAATTGGCTGCCACACCTTCCCGTGTACAGGTCAAGAAAGTTCCACCGATAAAGGATTGGGTTGATAAACACGGTCGTATGGTAATTATAGGCGAGGCTGCACATCCACTTCCAGTATGCTATAACTTTGACCATGGGATGGCCTGTTGGACTGACACTTCTTTCAGGCAGGATCCTTACAGGGCGGCGCGATGGCTGTGGAAGATGCCGCTGTATTTGCAAGACTTTTCTCCCACCTGCGAGACAGGGAACAAATATCAACATTTTTGCATGCTTTTCAAGATCTTCGGGAAGATCGTTGTGCCAGTGTTGTGCATACGGAGCATTGTAATCTGTATTTCCAGATGATGCCGGCTGGTCCTCAGCAGGAGCAACGCGATCAGGAGATGCGTGCCAAGACTGCTCAAGGGGAAAGCGTTTTCGGTGGTGGCGAAGCTTCTGAACAATGGGAGCAGCTCAAAGAACTTTGGGGATACGATGCCGAAGATGAAGCCGATGATTGGTGGGTCAAGTGGGGCCTTCTCCGTGAGCGAGCCAAGCAGCGATCATTAGACATGGAAGCAGAAATGAATATCGCACGACTGAGTTGTCTTGGCATGCGATCATAACAAGTGTTCTCCCTCTCTTTATTATAACATGTTTAGTGTACTCACATATATTGCTCATTCCTTTCGTTTAATCACCGTCGCTTTTAGGCAAGACAGTCATTTGATCATTGATTCTTTCTGTAATCTCGCTGCATTGCCATTCTCAGGACATATGGACATCATTACAGTTAATATTAGCGTTACCACTAGTATCGGCGTTGATATGTTTTGAACAAATTAACATATATGGGTTCGAGGCTCCTGCCTGATCGTTTGAAATTTGATGAACCGATCAATTCAGTGTCGTGATCAAGCACTCCCTCTGCTTATTGTGGCGTGAGAGCCTGTAAGAACTTACTTCAGGCTTTGGGCGCAGGGTCCACCATTGCAATTGGTTAGCTGTAATGACTCAAGGTCATGACGCGTCGATAGGTATTGGAACCTTTCAAAAGCCTCTCGTCACTAACAGGCCGGAGCTTACACCCACATTTGTACACAATGTCGTCGTCGTTCGCAGTATGCCGTGTCGTGGTCTCTGTCCGCATGCTCTTAGTGCTTCTGATCTTCTTTGGCCACGATGGGTTTTCGCTTGATCCTCGCGAACGGGGTTCTTGAACGAGCTCATTGAATGAATCAGGGTGACGAAGGAAGGCACGAGACGTCGTTTCCTATAGGTGCAGCACAGAACGCGGACGCTAATTAAGACCGCTAATGACGATCAATGACCTCAAGCAAATCATCAACACCTTCGGTAAACACCTCTTCGCATCTCTTCTTCTCTGAGAACCGAGTCTGAGTGATCACAACGCAAAGAGCTCCCGCGATAGAACGCACCGGTACTCAAACATAAGCTGCACTCCCACGAACATAATGCAACTGGCTGCAAGCAAGAAACAAAACCCTAATGGAGTATTAGATAGTCCAATATCACGCGGTGACAAAGAACAGAAGGCGCCCTACCTTGCCACGTTCCCGCCATCTGGCTGGCCATATACATTATCCCGTCCGTACCAATCACAAATCCAACAAGGTTTGCGGAAACCATCATTGACATGTTGAGTACGCCTCCAATTGCGCAGACATGGCGATACCATGAAAATTGCCCGTACTGATCGTGCGAGTTAAATGAGACGTAGAAGGTAAAAATGCCACGAAGATGGTGTTCGACTAACCTTTGTGTGAGGGAGAAGATACCTCGCAAGGAGCTCAGGTAAGATGAAAAAACTGACGAGCCATCCCCACGCAAGCAAGCGAAAGGATAGATCATGCCAGAGTGCGACAAATGTGAAGACAAGCGCAGTTGTCAGTGCAACGTTCTCTGTACCTCCGAGCGGAATGTAGATGTATCTGTATTCCAGTAAGTAAGAAGCCCGCACATGTATATAACAGCCGAACCGGACGATCCAGAGATTGTAAGACCGGTGCCAACTTCGCCAAAATCCAAGAGTAGAGTAATTATTGACCATGCACCGCACCATGTTTTCAGGTGGGTCGATACCGCTGGCCAAAGACCAGAGACGAAAAAACCTCCATGGTAAAAGCAGCTACTCAAATGGTCAACAGAAAACGAAACGCATCCAAAAAAAACTTACTTTTAACCAGACGACGACTGAGATTCCAAAATCCAATCATACTTAGCTCCAGTGGTGTATAGCCTTGCCAAGCCTTCATATCTTTGATGGCCACAACATACATGTAGTGTAATATGGACTCCATGGTCAGGAACTAACGAGGAAACGAACCAAGTAGCGGTATTGGACGCGTATGGGAATATCTATAGGGCGGCGCAACTGCATAAATGATGTAAATCAAAGCAAATCAAACAGAAAAGAACATGTACCTGCCACATGAAATTATTGAATGTCAGAATAGGGCCAGCGATGTACAGTGGAGGATAGAGGACATAGGTGATATAATTCCGATATGTATAATCTTCTAAAGGCAGTGGCGTGTTGGCTCTCTGCTTTTCGGTAGAAGCAGAGCTCAAGCTCTTCGAAGTGTATGAGTATTGAGACAGATATCGAACCTAGTTGCTCACCTCTCCTCCACTGAGAATTATAGGCCCAATAGTAATCCATATTGAATGACACCAATCTCAGCATAGTGATATTGAAGCTTATATGCCAGCGCGGATAGATGCCTTGGAATGCGTCCTGAGTGGAAAAGTCAGAAACTGTTGACTGATAAACATCTAGAATTACGAACCAAAACTTTTAATGAAGGGTGGAAACTGGCATACCGATATCCGCCATGTGTCTCATTAGCAAATAGGATTAAAACGTTAAAAACCCAGGTAAGCAGTGGTCCCATGCGCGATCCTTTGGATGTCTTAGCAATCCAGTAGTTGGCCGTCAGGATAATTATAATCTTGAAGACGCTCGTCCCGTGGAGACCAGTAAGGTACAGAACAGAGAACACAAGGAAAAACGGAATCAGGTAAAGCTTATCCGAGGGTATACTTAGGGCAGAGCGCAATGCAGACCGTGTGTATATGTATTTGAGAGCAATGAAGATCAGGACAAGGAATGAGAGTGAAAGTATGTTGTCGCGAAATGACCGATACTGGGTATCACTGTTATCCTGCGAGAATAAAAGTCAGAGAATTATTTTGTGCATGAAACAAGAGGCAGAAAACGGCCAGGACATCATGCCTACGAGATATGACACTCACAACTTCGCGTCCGAACATCCAACCTGGTGATAATCTGTGACGATAATATTGATAATGTGGATGTGAAGCTGATGACGTTCCATTAGCACTAGTGACAACCATCTGCAACGAAATTCTACCTACGTGAACTCAGGTGGATAGGTATCCACACCATAAGAGGGATCACAAACAAAGCGACCACATAATAGAAGATAAATTCTGGAGTTTTCCATCTTGGAGGTGGGCGCGGTTCGTTTGGGATGCGGCTCAAAGCAGGGATATCAACAGTGAGTGATGTAATTCCCCCTGGCTTTGGCGGAGTGTAGTCGAGGTCAAATGTCGAGAAATGGCCTTCTTGGTTTCGCATGTCTGTGGGCATATCAACCACTATGTCCTTTGGCATGAGCTCCGTATATTTCTGAAAGGAAGTTGCGTTGGTTCTGCGAGGTTTCAAGAAGTCGAGTCCATTGGCAGGCCGTTAGAGATTTACAGAAGGCAACTCGTCCACGTCCAAGTGATGCGAGAATTTTCTTCCTTATGTGGATGCTAGTGGTATTGCACCTCGGAAATTCGAATCGCATCATGGTTCCGCTGACATCTACTGTATATTGCCAGTCAGTTCCTCAGTGAAGGAATTTTTTTGACTGCATAGCTGATACAATGCTTGGACGCGCAGTGGACGACATTTCCACAGGCTCGGATTCTGAATACTCTAAGTGGGTCCTTTGTTGCCTAGCCGTCGCCCAACTGAAGCTGTGCTATTTCATCGGTTTCCAGTTCGGTGAGAAAGCAGTCACGACGGATATGTTACGTTCTAAACACAGTTGAAGTGGATCTCTTGGTTTCTTTCATCCAAGGGCAACGAATATTTCTGCGAAGTCGAAGAGGACTATATCCTAGATAGATTCAATCTCACTGGCCTCAACAACGAAGTTTCAAACTATGCCCAAGCGCTCGATTTAATCACGGATAATCTCGGTACATTTCGAAAGCCATATTGTTAGGTTGTGACTGAGAACCATCGATTCCCAGACGACGATATACAAGACGAGCTACGTGGTGCGCTCGATGTCCAGGCCCGTTTGTTGTATGGTCTAATCCATGCTCGATGGATTGTTACTGCCCGCGGACTGGCTAAAATGGTAACGTCTGCCTGCTCTTACCGCTAAGCCTCCTCACCTCCTTTCAGCTCGACAAATTCAAGCGAGTGGATTTTGGTCGGTGCCCACGAGTACTCTGTCAATCCCAGCCACTGCTTCCAGTAGGCCTCAGTGATACACCCTACGAAAAGTCAGTGAAGTTGTACTGCGGTCGATGCGAAGACGTCTACTCTCCCAAATCGTCGCGCCATGGCTCCATTGATGGCGCTTACTTTGGCACGTCCTTCCCTCACCTCTTGTTCCTCGTATACCCCAGTCTTCTTCCGCCGAAATCCGGCCCTGTTGATCCTACTCCAACCTCCCGTGGTATTGAAAACGACTCCAGCAGAAAAAGTAGGAGAGTTAAGGAAGAGCCTGAAATTTCCGAGAGTATCGGAGAGACAGCCAGCACTACGAGTGTTGCATTGAAAGCAGAAAGATATCGACCGAGGATATATGGTTTTCAGCTGAATGAGACTGCAAAGTTGCAAAGATGGCAAGAGGCTGTTCGTGATAGGTGAGTTGGTTTTTCATTTTCAAAGACCTTACTCATGCGTAGTGTACAGGCAAATAGTACGCCTCGAAGCGCTCGAGGACCTCAGTTAAATTATTTGTTTTACTCTTACAATCGTGATCATATCATATCATTAATTGGGCTTGTTATGTTGGAATCCACGTCCTGAGCAGCGTCAGCAAACCTCCAAAGAGAGTTCTCGCGAATGAAAGCGAACAAGATACCAAAATCCTATCTGCCTTGTTCTTCATCTACTCCAAAAGAAGACAACGATGGATACCATATGTTCTTGCCAGTGAGGAATAAGTCGAAAAGAGGTGTTGGCGATGCTTGAGAAGTGAAGAAAAACGTGAGTTCCCATATCCTATGAATATCATCAGTGACTGCAAGCGTCTGAAAGATGAGAAGGTCTGTACGACACTTTAAGCTTTCTCAGTTCTGTCACAATCTACATAGTTCACCCTAGGGCTCTTGCTTTTCTCCACAGGTGTTTCAACTACCTCTCCACCATTGTTCTCAGATGTGTCAAATTGCTCTGTGTGATATTTGAGTTATTTGAATGGCTCGAGGTATTGTGCTGCTATAACTATACATTCAACTGCTTGGTGGCTTACTACAGCAACCATTAATATTGAATATTGAACATTGACAAGTATGATGTGGTTTCCTCTGCCAAATCTGTTGCACCGCGCTGAGTCAGCCATAACCGAGCCAGTACCACGGTCCGGTTATTACCTAATATATTACCGTGTGCCTCGGCCTGCACAGCTGCAACGGCTCCGATTCCACTATGTCTGGAAGGCAAAGTACTTGTCGCCTGTGACTTGACTCGAAGCTTGCTCGAGACTTATAACACTTGCACATGTACTGCACCTTTCCTGCCCTGCGCTCATACTCAGGATGAATATGATAAATCTCTCTGCAACTGACTTTCCCATCAAGTCCGTGAGGATATTCAGCTCCGACGTAGCTGAGGTTACCCGCACTTTTCCCCTCAACTTTACCCAGTCTCTAGTACGTGCATAGTGGTTGACCTCAGCAGCTTCTAAGACCCAGTCACTTACTACTACATAATTAGAATGGATCGCTGGCCATCAATATTTCAAACCTTCCCCTACTGCATCGGCAGAGTGGAATTTGGGCATCTGTGACCATTGGTTCAGATGATCTGATGGTTATGGATTACTACCATGGCCCGTCCGACTATAAGTCCGACCCGTTTGGTCATCGGCACGAGACTAGCAGTGATGTCCTTCGTGATCTGCGGGCCGAGTTTACGCGCCTAGAGGATGAGCGTCAGCTAAGGCAACAAAGCTTCGCCTTCCTGTCGACGTACATGAACTCTCTTGCCAAAGGAAATGCTCTGGCGGGTGTGACAGAACCTGCACAACTCGTTACACTCTTCGATGAGTTCATAGACATTGGCAAGAGTCGATCCGAAGTCATTGCGGTACTTGACCAGCAGATCAAGGACGTTAAGAAGGAAATAGACGAAGAAGTACAGCGACTTTTCCTCGAATCCTGCGCCTTAGTGACCAAAGCCACTGTTATTCTTGCACCAGTTTCTGGCCGCACCGCTACGGTCGCTGAGCTGGAACTGAAGTACAGTGAGTTGTCTTACCATTAAGCTGTTGCATTTTCATCTATCACTGAGTCCTCCTCAGAGGTTAACGCTACATGGAAGCCAGTATACGAACTACATGTCACGACCATTGATGGTGTCCCTTCTTCATCAGTCGTTCTAACTTATCGATGTCAAATTTCTCAGTCTACCGGGGAGAATTGGGACGATGTGGAGCTTGCGGTGACAACAGCAGAGCCCTATGTTCATTCAGTAGGAGTACCTGAACTAAAGAAGATGGAGCTAAAGCAACGAGGAGGCTTTTGGAAGCCTGACCCTTGCGATTTACCGGTCAAGCCCCAAAATATTCCATTTTGGAATACCACAGGATATGCGTCGCCTTTCGAGAACATTCTGTCCTCGACACAGCAAGACAGACGAAGCATATTTGGAAACGCTCAAATTGCTCTTCACCAAGCTGGGGCCACACAGGAACCTGCAGCAGACAACGTGTTCGGATTTTTACAGGGACAACCCACTGTCACAACTCAAGGTTTCTTTACATCTACTCCAGCACAGTATTCATCCAGTGCGCGGAACCCAAGTAGTGGCGGGAGTAATGCCACAGACAACACCCTTGGCTCCAACCAACCAACATCAAACTTGCAGCAGTCTCAGCCATCGACTTCCTTGTCCGCTTCAGCGCATCTATCCAAGTTACAGCACCAAAGAGAACGCATAGTGTTAGCAGAGGTGCGTCATGACTGTTTCAGGTTGCTAGCGAATCTGACAATAATCTTACTGTAGCTCGACAAGGCCGTGACTCACACAACGACTGCAAAGGTGTTCATCCCAAGTCGTGGAGTGGGAGGGACCCATCACATTCTTATAGCAACTATCCCACTGAAAGCGTCATTTACCAGGGTCGCAGTACCGAGCGTTAACTCCCATGTCTTTTGGACTGTGAGTAATATCTCGTTTATGTCATCGTACCTGCCTCACATCTATCATTCTAGTGCGAGATTTCAAACACAAGCAACTATGCACTAACTCCGGGCACTATTCACACTTACCTGGATGGAAAACACGTTTCTGACATGGATATCACGGTACGTTATTTCCTATGTCAGTTTCCGAGACCCATTAACCTTGCGCATCGAAGCAGAGCATCAATCAGTCGCAACCTATCCAATGCTCTCTTGGTATTGACGCCGCGATGGCCACGCAGTTCAACCGCACTATCGGCTCGCTACCTGACTTCAACGGCAAGGCAACTAAGACGTATACTATCACGGCCACTCTTAACAACACGCACCGCGACCCCGTCAGCAACGTCATCGTTCGCACATCACTTCCATTTTCTGCAGACCCTCGTATTACAGTCACGTTGCAAGAGCCCGGAGGCCTTGCTGACATCAACTCGGGAACGGTACGGGTAGGAGATGGGTGTTATGCGAGGTGGTCAACCGCTGGGGACCGCGCAGGAAAGAATGATGGGCTGTTCGAGTGGGTGTGCAGTGGTGTGAAACCCGGTTCACAGGTGTTGAAGGCAGTGTGGCATGTGACCGCCCCTTGCGGTCTCAGTTTCACAGAACCGTAGTTCGGCCTATCCATACAGCTTGCTATTTAAGTCTAAGAAGAGGAAGAAGGGTGTATGACAGGTTTTATTGATTCGGGGCAAGAGTAAGAATCCTTCTGTGTAGTATTGTACAAAATGTTTGCGTATACACAGACATTAATTAGAATACATCGTTCATGGTCTTGGCCATCTTTTACAGCACGCCATCGCTGCGCACAGCACATTGCCCAAATTCCAGCTTCTTCAAACCTTCATCCTTGGGTAAAATGTCCTGTTACACATCATGTAATCAAATCGGCAACATCTATCACAACGAACTCACATGTTCAAAGATCCCCAAGGGAAGACCGAGAGTCACACAGGCATTTGGAGAGTCCTAAGATAAAATTGAATAAAACTGTCGAGGAACTTGAATTGGATCTGACTTACCACGATTGCACCAATGTGACTTTCTACCGGCGCAGCAGACAACAAAAGGTCTAAATGAAGTTGAGTGTTGTTCTTGCCCTCACAGAACATGACTTACATGCTTGCTCACGGGCTACGGTCACTCGCTGATCAGTAGATGGTTCATTTTGCGATGCGGGACTTACTGTAGCCAATCTTCATAAGATAAGCGATAGCGTTCAGAGCAGCCTGCTTGTAGGCTACCGTGCTAAGTAGAGTTAATGAACTACGCATCAGTGTATCAAGGGAAAGTACACTGACGCATCCATGTTGTATTGGGTACCATCACCGTCTGTCAATTATTATCGTCAATAATGAATGATGTGGCATTCAATGTGCTCATGCATACGGTAGTCTACACTGATCCCCTGGAAGATCAACTAGAACTCGGATTAGCAACTAAAACAAATGATGTGCTCATGTACCTACTTTTGCGGAGTACTGTGGATCGACAGGAGAGGGCTGTGACGGTCAGCACCGGGAGTGGCCGCCTGAGATAAGAACATACCAGGAAGATGGGTTGTTTCATAGCAAACTTCTCAACACCGCCTTTTATGATGCTAGTGCTGAAGGTGACTATTCCAGCCTGAAAGACACATTAGTGAGAGCGGGACAAAATTGCAAAAATTCCACACCATCTCTATGGCGCCACAGAAGGACAGCTAAATAGTGCTCGTTTAGATCACCTACGCACTGATAGATTCTAGCCTACCTCGCCCTATTTGAATGTTAGCATGAGCAGAACTGCGTGATGAAGATACTCACATCTCCTTGAGAGAAGTGGAGATCGCCAACAGACAAGTTTGCACCCTTCACGAATACAGGGAAATAGCAGCGCGAACCCCTTGACCCAAAGTATGTGAGGAACAACGGAAGCCTGTAGTGAGCTTCCTTTACCTTGACAAGTTTTTGATCTATGAAGTAGATAGTTACTACAATCGAGATAACAAATGACGATTTAAAGGAAGCTTACATCGCAGTTACCGCCATGCTCTCTTCCAGGAATCGTCCGTGCGCCTTCGCGATAGATTTTCGCGCGTACGTCATCAGGCAGGTCTTGGCCGACATAAGCGCCTGGTGCCAATGGGCCATAGGCGACGGGAGGAACTGCATTAGCGTGAGCTTCAATAAGGGCACCTTCACGCTTGTTCCAGGTTGCCAATAGTTCAGCAGACGGTGCTGTGCCGATCAACCCAGGATGAGACACGCCAGCGAAACGTACGCCAGGAATGTGCCTTGAAGTGGCATAGACGCCTGGAGACATGTCATCAGAACGTTGCACGCATATCGTATGAAGATGCGAACCTTTGAAATCCCAGATAGCTTTTGCAGCTCTGCTCTGGAATTCGCGAGCTACATAAAATTTCAATAAGAAATATGCGAAATATGGCAGTTTTTTTTTCGCTCACCAAACAATCCGCCGCCGTTCTCGAGTTCGAAAATACCCTGTTGCACTTTAGGCGCTTGGCTGAATAACTAATTCTGTGAGAGTCCTTACGGTGTAGCCCCAGGGCATTTTATCAAACGGTCTGACTACGAACAAATGAAAACGAGTCACAGAAGAGCAATCAGGTACGACATACCATCAAGAATATCAACTACGAGACAGTCTCCAGGCTCGGCGCCCTCCACAGCGATTGGACCGGACAAATTATGAACGCTGGTCAGGTCCACGTCTCTGATATCATCGCTCGCTGTCGGAAATAGTGGCCTTAAAGTAGATCCCTATGATGGCGAAAGCCCGTATACGTACTGTCGTTGTTACCGATTTGTGCTCCTGTCCAGTCAACACATTCGACATTGAACACCTGTGCAAATGATCGGACATAAGACAGGTGTATACATACATCCAAGGGCATCGTGACATACCTGCCCGGGCTTCACTGTGGCAATGGCAGGGATATCGGGACTGCGAACAGGGTCATGGGATCGATTGTGGGACGAACAGCATACTAACTCACTGCCAGCGGTTGTGCAGGTTCTGCAAAATGTTAATAAATGTTGCAACTACGGCGAAATGTGGAACAAACCTTTTGTTCTCTTGCAGGACTTGCAGTTAATTGAGATCATGAGATAAAGGTGTGGACGCATCAACCTGAAAAAAACCTACACAAAAGGATCAGCCTAGGGGTGCAGTGATCAGTTGTCGACTTTCTCAGGTGAACAGGACGCAGTTGCGTACCGAAACCAAGGTTGGGTGAGCTACGGAGTTCGCGACAGTTGCCATCAGTTAATCGCTTTTCACTTTGTGATGAGACTTGGGATGAGAAGGCTGAGTTGAAAGGAAAGGAACCTCATAATGATTGGAGCCGATAGCTTATAATGGCTCCTGATAAGACTGGCGGTCCGCGTGATACCGCAACCGTCTATCAACAATGTGCCTCATAGACGGACTGGTCACGAGTCTAGTTACATGGGTGGGGCTGTCACAACAGACGTCTCGAGTCTCATGCAAGACTTAATTTTGGACCACTTACTTAGTAACGCTCAAAACGGAGTAGCGTAAACCAAGATTCTCACCTGCTATCATGCATTCGTTCTCAGATAATTGCGAGGTCATACTTTCAACTTGTTCAAGTCGAGTCCGAAACGTGCTTGATGCAGTACATTCTGTACAGACACCGCACGACTTTGACAGATACGTTCTCAAGATTTTGACCATCGTGCGAACCTCGAAGATCAGGCGACTTGCTACTAGATAACACGAGAGACCGACACTAGTACTGTCATGCATGTCATGGGTGAGCCGCGGTGCACACGTGACACGTGTTCACCTGGGCTTATGTGAGCGTGGATGGCCAAATACAAAAATTCAAATTCAAATTGAACTTTGACAATACGGTATAATGAACGTGTTGTAACTTGTTCGGTATTTAACACATAATTGAACAGCAAATGACGTTGCTTGGGGCACAAAAGCTGGCGCTGCGAGTTCTAAAGCAAGTCATGGAGGAGAAACTGCATGCATTAGTAAACTACAAGACCACAACGTCCAGTTGGCACAGGCATGTGTTTCCCTACGTTCAACTTTGCCACAGATCACACCACAGGAAGGATTTGTGATACTAGATGAAGTACAACTGAAGGAAATTATTGACGCCGGTTTCAGGTAGATGACAATATCAATCAGACAGCCGTGTCTTTTGCTAACAGTTAGTGATCGCAAAACCTGGTCAATGTTGAGACAACTGAGTTATCATACAAATGGGAACAGCGTAGTTGTGACTTCAACTTAATTCTAATCAAATTCTAATCAATTGTAAGGATGAGAAGATTACATAAACGAGGTAGTGCGAGAGCACACCACATACATATCTTGTACTGCATATCACAACGAAATGCGCGAAGTGCAGGAAGATTATGCGGAAGGAACTGCAGATATGAATAAATGTGTGTGTGCGGCGCTGACCTTTGGCAATAACGGGACACGCCTAGTCTGTTGTATTTCCAGACCCTTGGTGGAAAAGTACCTGCAATTCCGATCGGATTGAGCGATGGTTCATACCAAGGAGAAAGTCTTATTACCTTTGACTCTCGTAGCTCCAGGAATGGTTTGCTCGAGCCCAGTTTGCTATTCCGTCAAGGTACTCCTTGACCAGGACGTCGACAGAAGGCCCCCATGAGGGAACCTTCGCAAGACCGTCAATAAATCGTTTCTGAACTTCAGCGTGATAATGTGCTGCCCAAGCCATCGCACTGCCTATGTCGAAGTCCAATTCCAACATGACAATATTGATCAAATTATGAAATTCGCCCCCAGCCGCTTGCTCCTTGTTGTACGACATCATGTCCTGTGAAGGATATCAGCAGACCGCAAACTACGACATCCTCAATACCACTTTACATTGTCAATGATTGTCAACTCTGTGATACAATCAGCAAGATCCGTGATGACGGGATTGTAGAACACTTCATCAGGGAAGTCCATTCCCATTTCATAGATTAGGAGACAGGGTTTTACGCCCACAGTTTTCCGTCGGAGCTTCAGGTAGTCATCGATACTGCGCTTACGGCCTTGTTCACGGTCGAGACCCTCGACGACTACTCCATGAATATATTCATCGAAGGTTTCAAGGAAGTGACGTTGAGAAGGCAGGCTTGCGAATTGGATTGCATGGACCCAAAATCTACCCAAAAGTCCCTGGGGTGTCAGATAATCCCCAAGGAAGTTGGAAGCACTTACAATCGCGCGACCTCGCTGAGAATGCATTCGCCTTCTGGTCGTATCTTATGAGGATTGTGTAGAGCATCGAGCACGATGTCCGCCCTTTCCTTCCTGACTGCCTCATTTTCGAAGTCGGTGTACTCCTCCACAAGGAAAAGAAAATTCATCAAATCACAGCCGATTTGAACGTGTTCTATTTAGGAACGGAATCAGGGTTTTGTGGTGCGTCAATTGCCAGAGTACGAACCTCTTGGTGCATTTGGATAAGCCAGTCCTGTTAGGAGGGCTATAAGAAAAATGTGTTAATCATCGTCAAAATTGAGGGCTCGTGACACAGGTCGCACCAAAATCACATTTGTCGAATGCTTCTTGTGACTCAGGACTCAGGGCCTTGAAATCACGGAATGAAGCATCAACTTCAGCTTTCACATCTTGCAGATGAGGATTGACGGTACGAGGCCAGGGCCAGTGAATCATAGTGTCTGGGAGGTATATCGTCTTTGGGCGAGCATCCATAGCCTTTGAGATATAGTTTCTGATGAGTGCGAAAGTCGAAAGGGGGACAAATTATCGCTTGTCCAGTCCAGAGCTTCCAGCAGAGCTTATATACTTGTCAGGGTCAGAATCGGCCCACTTCACATGCACATACACATTAGATGAATGTGGTGAATACTCCAGCCATGCCGGTGTCTATCTGATCGTGGGCAGATATGATCAAGTGGCG